CGACATTCTTAAATAAACTATGAGAGGTTGAAGATCGAATACTTGAGTTAATTCCAACTACCAATACCATCCTCAAGAGATAATCCACGATTATCACACAACAAAGAAAGCATTGGGCCAATAACTTCCCGGTATAGTTAATTGTTTGTTGGGTTGTTTATGTTCGGCATTTTGTGAATTCAACTATAATTATTCACAAATAGTCAAGTTTATAAATAAAATTGTCGAACATTTTGTTTGGATCGGAAGCCAATCACTCCCGCGTATTTTTGTGTTTAGGGTGTAGAGTATGCGTTTATCACACATGAATGTTCGGCATTGATTTATTTATATTATTTCAGTATGCAAAATATTCGTCAAATAAATCAATGGGATATTGACCTTCGTAGTCTTACAATCCAATTTTCGTTAACAGTATATCATTATTTGTTAACGTTCGGCCATGGCGTTATTAAAGATAATTAATAAAATAATAGACGTCAAGTTGCATAGAACCTAAGGGGAGTTGAAAGTATAATAGTCATCAAACACTGGAAGTATAGGTGGGAGACAAACATCATTTATTATTATAATAAATATAATATAATTATACTCTCTACTTCAGCACTTCATAATACATACAGTATGATGCAAATGTATGGAATAAATTCATTATTTCAGAAATGGGCGACATTTGAAGAAATTCCGAAAACACGTGAGTTTTAATTTTTGAAACCTCATCTCATGACATTCATATGAGAGATGTTACGTCACCGGTGTTGGAGTAATGACGTAATGGACGGTTTTTTTAAATACAAACAGGGTCATGTGACACCTCGTTTGAAAGGTCTACTGATCGTCTATCCAATAGTCAAAATTTTGCAAAAGAAGATTGAAATTAAAATGGATTATCATTTGGTTAACTGAATCTTGCAGAGATCTTCTTCTGAGAATTGAACATCGAAGGGTCGTCTAGTTGAAAAAATACATCGATAAAAAAGTTCTGAACTCTACTTTTTGGATTTTTTTCGGAAGTCGTCTTGTTTTGAAATGAATTTATTCCATACATTTGCATCATACTGTATATCATCTTTAGCTTCATTTGCTCTTTTTATTCGGTGTACTATACGCGTATTTACTAAATATACTGTACGCTAGCACAAACCACGCCCACCGTTATATCTCATCTTCAAAGTAGGTACTTTACTTAGGCAAAACTCAGAGACTATTTATCCTCAACGAACTAACCTATCCCTGATTGCAATATTTTTGAGGAAGGAAAACCGAATGGAGTGTAGAAATTAACACATTGATTAATAATATATTTCAAAAGTTGAGTTCTTCAACAAAATTGAATAAAATATGAGACTGTTTATCCTGAACGCACTAACCTATTTGACTTCAAATATTTTATGAAAAAGAAAACCAGAATGAAGTAAAAAAACATTGGTGAAAAAAAAAAAGTTGCAAAAAATAGTTCAAGTTCACAGCGATTTGAACCATGGACCTTCAGACTGAGAGTCGACAGCGCTAACCAGTAGACCATTTGGGTGTATGAAATTACTGCGTACAAGAGATTGACAACGAGAGAGCTTCAGTCGAATTCGTGTCAAAATCATAAAAAGTGTATTCCTGCGTTGGAGCACAGTATATTATTTTAGTGCGATGTGCTGACTCCGAGTATATCGGTAATGTTTGGAGATATGACGTATTATGGTGGGCGTGGTTTGTGCTAGCGTGCAGTATATTTAGGAAAATCGCGTACTATACCTACTCCATTAGCTTCACTTGGTCATTACAGCGAAATTACAGAACCTTAAGATATTCCTAAAATGCTGTAAGAAAATGAAGACTATTATGCAACCATTTCCACCCATTCACCTGACAGCAGTGACAGACCACTGATATTATAACATGTCATTGTTTTTTTGCACTTCTCATTCATTGGGGCCAAGCCGAAGACAAGAATCTCACTGAGCTGAGGTGGATACTTGACGGTGTTTCAGGCAGAAATTGTCGCAATACATCATTGCGTAAAATAATTGATAAGGCAAAAGTTTATAGGTAAACCATTTCACTCGGATAGCGAGGCGGTAACACAATGCAAGTTGATTCAAAACTTGCCTGCGACTACTAGTTGGACGCCCTGAATGAAGGGAGCAGTCAGAATAGACTGACTCTATAGCATGGGTACCAGCACATATACGGGGTATGAGGGCAACAAAGACGCAGCTTCACTAGCCCGAGCAGGAGCAAGTAAAAAGCCCTGAATTGCCCAGATCCCTTTTGTGCTATTGCGGAAGCTATAGAAAAGACAAGCACTTAATCGTGGATGAAAACCAAATCTCAAGACTGGTGGAAACATTCGTCAGGAATGGGACAGGCCAAAGAATTCATTGAGAAACCATCACCAATATTCACAGAATTTTCACTGAGTCAGAAGAGAAGTTCAACAGATTAGTGGGACTGCTCACAGAGGTTGCATATGAGTACAATAGGCCTGGCTGAAGAACTGCTATTCAGCTTAGGTTAGGAAGAGGATGAAACAGCAGTACACATACTTCGCCACTGCGAGGACTTGTCAAGACTAAGGTTCAATACGCTGGGAGAGAAAAACCAAGAGCCTAAATATACACAGGAGATCTGAAAAATAGCCTACGGACTCTCATAGAGGAGGAGGGGCTAGTCAAAGAACTCTAAACGATTTCTAGGACAGATACAGTAGATCTGCAGAGGTCGTGGTGTAGAGGCAAATAGCCCGAAAGCCCCATTCCTATCTAATCGGAATGTTGTGGCACACAAAACAGCATAAAAAACATGACACTAAACAAAGTGGAGTAACATAAATCTTGTATTTCTAGTGGGTACATCTGAATAATGAAGAAAATTCCACATTATTCTTTCCTTTACTTGAGAAATACAACTCGACTTTGAGTATGGACGACTTCCTTCAGTTAATTTCGATATGTTTGCAGTATATGAATGTGATTGGTCTGAAAATTATTTTTATTCATGTTTTTTGTATGATATGTACTACTTTTCTGTTTATTAAATTCCGTTTCCATAAGTATCAACTGTCAAACAAAATCTGAACTAGTTTAATACTAAATAAAGGATATACACCGTGTCTAAGATAAAAATGTCTATAATGGGGATCTCGGAAACCATAAGAGATATATGAGAAAAAACGAAACTTGCCGATTTCATTTTTTTTTTTCTGACGTTATTTGAAGAGATTCAGGAAAACAAAAGCCCTTTTTCATTGCCACTTTTTAAGCTCTATGAAAAAGGATTGAGAAATTTTCCGAACGACGTTTCGTTTCGGATAATCTATTTCCGAAATAGACATCTTCATCTTGGTCACGGTGTATATACAGTCCTCTATTTTGTTTATTCCAATGGAGATATTACCAACAACCCCTTTGTGATTCCTTTGGAACCAGTACCAAAATAACGAAACTAGAAGCAGAATGAATTCTTCCCCCACCCACATCTCTTATTCTAAGCATGATATTCGGCCTGCGCCCGTCCACTGTCTTGAGTCCGTGTCGAAGTCACACCGGCCGATGGGGCCAATCAGCAGTCAACTCAATGCATGTTGATTCAAAACTTGCAGCCCTTTTGTAGCCATCTCAATGCAAGTTCTTTCAAAACTTGCAGTGCCTTTGGTAGTCAACTCAATACAAGTTAATTCCAAACTTGCATTCAGCAGTCAACTAAATGCAAGTTCATTCAAAACTTGTAGTCCCTTCAACAGTCAACTCAATGCAAGCTACTTCAAAACGTGTAGTCTTTTTAGCAGTCAACTCAATGCAAGTTAATTCTAGCAGTCAATTCACTGCAAGTTAATTCAAAACTTGCAGTCTCGACTTAGAATCCCTGAATTAACTAGGCAGTCAGAATAAATACTCAATCAAGCATTGGTACTAGAACATACAAGGGTAACGAAGAGGCAGATTCCCTAGCTCGAGCAGGAACAAATAGAGTTCTGAATGGCCCAGAACCCTTCTGTGAGGTCTATTGCAAAAGCTATACAAAAGAAGCATCAAATCATGCATGCAAACCGAATTTTAAGAATGGTGGAACAATCTGTCAGGACTGAGACAGGTTAAGGAGTTCATTCAAAAAAACACCACCAATATTCACTGAGTCAGAAGAGTGGTTCAACCAGAATAGTGAAACTTCTTACAGGGCATTGTAGGTTCAACAAACACATGAGTATGATATCCCTGGCTGAAGAACTGCTGTGCAGGTTTTGTTAGGAAGCGGAGGAAACAGCAATACCCATACGTTGCCACTGTGAGGGCTTGTCAAGACTAAGGTTCCTTATGCAGATGGAGAAAAAAACAAGAAAAAACAAGAAAAAACTAAGGAAACACCAAGGAAAAATCAGAGCCCAAAGATAAACAACGATATCAAGGGCAGACACAATATATCTGAAAAGGCTACGGTGTGGAAGCAAATAGCCGGAAGCCCGCCCCCATTGTAATCTTATCTGATTTAAATGTCATATAGCCGGAAGCCCCCCATTGTAATCTTATCTGATTTAAATGTCATAGCATACAAAACAGCAAAAAATATAAGACAGTTGAATAAGTAGAGAAACAAACATGTTGTATTTTGAGTAAGTTCATCTGAATAATGAAGAAACTGTAGTCTCCACAGGTAGCTGAAAAATACAACTCCACTTTGAGTATGGACTACCCTGTTCTCTTAGTTTTGATATGTTTGACGGGTGTAAAAATGATGTATTTGTGGTTTTTGTATTCATAAACTAGTTTCCATGTTTATTGAATAATGTTTTGTTTAGTATTGACTGTCATATGAAATGAAAATTAAATTATGACTAAATAAAGGATATATATATATATATATGTATAGGTACAGTCAATTATTTTGTCTACTACTAGAGATGATTCCACTGTGATTTCTTCTGAATTCGAATGTCGTAAAGAAGAATAAAATAGTAACAAAATAACAAGACCAACAAGAAAATGAATTTGATATCAACATTCCTTCACTTATCTCTTCTTCTGTATGATGTTCTGTATCTTCTGCCACTCCCTGTCCAGATGCGCCTTTTCGTTCTTGTCCTTGTGCTTCCGCGATCTGCGCCCGTCGGCCATCTTGAGCCCGTACTGGAAGGCCGCCTTCGGCAGCGCTTCCTTCTGGTTCATGTAGTCCGAGTACTCCTCGGCCGTGTCGAAGTCCCACCGGCCGATGGGACCCTTCTTGTTGCCCAGGTCCATCTTGGAGTAGTCCACCTCGTCGTCGCTGTCGTCGATGGCGTCGTTCATCTCTTCCAGGCCTGGAACGACGGAGAGGTGGGTGAAAGGTTTTTGTGGGTGAGCGTTCACAGAACTAACGATATGTGATTCGAAATTCGATGTAATAGTAGATTGTTTTAATAGGATCAAAAGTGGCAAAGTCGAGCGAAAGCAAAATATGAGAGTCAAACGAGGTCACTTTTGATCCGAATGAAACATGCTATTTCTTCTGCAATCGAAAGAATAAACTAAAATACATATGTGAAGTAATCACCAATGCCATGCCATATGTATGAAATGCAACAAACCATCCGTATATGGTGAGAATATTCGAAGAGAATATTCTAACATCAGGTTTATTCAATTTTCGAGGATGTTCGAATTGTAGTTTCGATATTGTCAAGATATAATGATCATTCGTATTTTATTCAGTTATTTTAAATTCCAATTTTTAGTCTTTTCCCAGTAAATATATTTTTCATAGCTAATTTTACATTTCCGGAAGACAGTTCAGTCGATCGTAGTTTTCAGGAAATCAAGAATCCAATTTCAATCAGTATTATTTTGATTTGCAATCTTTTTACCAGGTCGCTGGCACCTATGATCGGGTAAATTATCGCTGACGGAGTATTTTTCGAAACAAGGAATATCGAGTTTGATGAAAAAGCCGGCATTACGATTAGGGATCGCGAGTAGTGCGATCACGCGTTTCATTTTTGAAGTAAGTTTAGTTTTTCGACACACCGCGCCCCTCGAGTTCCACCCCCATGGAGAAGCACGCTCTTTGGTGAGTACATGATTCCTATGTTATATTTATGTTTCATTTTTATATAACCTCATATACTATGTGTTCTGGTTATTTTGTCTCGTTGACGCTCGACATCTTTTGTTTTTGTATTTTTTACTCATTTTTGTAGTCTCTCAATTTACACCCCAATGTGAGCTTATGATTGAATAAAAATTTATGAATTTGTTAAGTTGAATCTAGCCCCATTATTCTGCTGCCAAGCGAGTAACCCCTCACTGGTCATAGGTTTGAATGTCTCGGGAAGGATTATGGGTACTTACAATTCTACCCCTAGAGATTTAAACGTGACAATATAAATACAACGAAGAGTGACCCATTTGTGTATGGACCAGCCATAATAGCAGATACCGCGCCAGTGCCAGGTATATGAAAAAGACGTGGTAAATGTTAGGTTAGTAAGCATATCAACAATAATAATAGCGATTATTCATTTCCCTCCATATTCCACTTTACTTGGCTCGGCAATCAAATGAAGGCAATCATTATCCAAATCGAAGTCCTGAGGGGGCAGAAGGACGATCTAGCCTTCATACCCATCTAGTGGATCAAGTGCAGAGGTGTATAGGTAGATTCAACAATCATACCTTGCGAGTAAGTCGTGCATATAGACCCCTACGTCTATATGCTTACAGAAAAGACACCATGTCAGAATTCTGTAGACTATCGCAACACCTGTAATTCTCAAAGTGGTTTAATATACCACTAACAGATAGTGATATTCCTAGAATGTCAAGACTATGAGATTCTAGGGAAATTTCGTGAATCGTTTGTCAGCTGATGCGAGACAGACTGTTTCGACTTGCCATAAGTGTCATCAGTTGCACTGGCCAGCTGACAATCGATTCACGAAGGGTACCTCCATATATTATACAAATCGAAGGGAGCAGAAGGACAATCTAGCCTTCATAGCCATCTACACACACTGGCACAATTAGGGGAACGGGTAAAATTTACACTAAGTTTGACATCAATTTTCTCTCGCACCGATCACTCGATTCAAATTAGTTTTCCACGAATTGTAGCTTCATTCTTCACGAATAAATCTGAGAAATAACCACCTCCAAACGATTCGTCTTTATATCATATACAGGGGTGTAAAGAAAGTACGGATTTTTCGGTATTTTTTAAGACATCCTGTGGAGTGAACCACTGATAATTGAAACGATTTTCCAACACCAAATTATAGCCCAATCTATCCCGAATATTTTCGTTTTTTATTCATCTTGATATCCCAATTATCTAAGAAAATATAGAGTTTCAAAGAAGAGGTGGATATTGGTATTAATTTTACCACCTCGAAACTCGAACTGGGGAGAACGTGTAGTTTTTCAACTTGTTTCTGTGAGGATTTTTACTTCAAGATGAGAATTGTTCACAGTCGGTTTACTGTTCAAAGACACATATACGAATACTCTCATGAATATGCAGGGGTGATAAAAGTTGCTCCAATGTTCTTTTGGTGAAATGCTATTTTTGTTAATCAACGTTGGCTATTTTGTTAATGTCATTAATTATTGTCAAAGTCAAGCGATTCACAATTCATAAATTTGATTAATGAAAATTCAACGTGAGAGATTTGATTCCTACTGATGTGGCGAGGACTGTAGCATTAATTGAAAACGACCAGTGGGTCAATGTTCTTTTAACATATGAGAGCCGCATCTGCACCAATTCAATAGATGGCAGGGAAAGACTATATCGCCGAGGTGAACAAAATGAACAATTTGATTTTACTGCTTCTGTCTCCTATGGCAGAGGTTTAGTCATGGTTAGGTTAGGTTAGTCAAGAAACGACACATTTTCAGATCCAATTTGAGTTTTGAGGTGTAAAATTGATACCAATATCCACCTTTCCTTTGAAACTCTGTATTTTTTTGAATAATTGAGATATCAAGATGAATGAAAAACGAAAATATTCGGAATAGATTGGGCTTCAATTTGGTGTTGAGAAATCGTTTCAATTATCAGTGGTTCAGTCCACAGGATGTCTAAAAAAATACCGAAAAATCCGTACTTTCTTAACACCCCTGTAAATGATGGAAAGACTCATCGTTTGAAGGTAATTATTTCTCAGATGTATTCGTGAAGAATGAAGCTACATTTCGTGAGAAAAAAAAATTGAATCGAGCGACCGGTTCCAAAGAAAATTGATGTCAAACTTAGTGTAAATTTTGCCCGTTCCCCTAATTGTGCCAGTGTGTGTATGAAGCATGAAGAGCATTCACCCTAGTGTCTCCTACAGTATTTGTTGAATTGGGGATCATGACTCTACCGTCACTCTATATATATCCCTTGATTAAAGATATAATGAATAATGAATTCGTAACAAAAAATCGTGATGTTCATAATTATGAAACATGTGGTCGTAATCAGCTACATCAGTCTTATTCCAGACTTGCAGTCAGTCAAAACTCTCACACCTATCAACAAATAAAATTTTATAACAAATTCCAAAATCTATTTGGCGACAAAGAAAATAAAACCAAATTTAAAGATGAGCTAACAGCATATTTCTTGAACAATGCATTTTATTGTACAGATGAATTTTTAGCAATGTGAATAATTTTAGATAACTGTAATGAATGGGCGTGTACACCTTAGTAGAACTTTTAACTCAAACCATGTTTGTAATGATCCTTTTATACATAAATAATGATTGACGACATAATTCGATCGAAAAATTAACTGGAATGTTTTATTTTTGGACATAAATAATAGTACCTTCTGAAAACGGACCCTCTTATGACGTAGAAACCTCACCTCGCCATAGTTGAAAGAAAATACCAAACGTCCGACGGAGACTGAAGCAACTGATATATTAATTTTTTCACTCTCTCAGAAATCATGTATCATTCATCTCTGTCTGGAATAGTCTTGTTTCAGTATTAGGGTTTTGACGTCAAATCATCGCCTCAGAGGTCCAAAAATCGGGGATTTCAATAATTTTTTATAAAACGTAGGGAGCACACAGCAAGAAACGGTTTGCGGTGGTGAGCTAGTTTGGGTGAGTTCTATCGAATTATGAAATACATTTTTTTTGTGATATAAGCCCATTGTGTCAATTGTGTAAACCTACCTGTATTAACTAGTAATGTAAATGAATAACTGTTGTACTACCTACTTATTTTAATTGTATATTTTAAATTAGACTGGTCCAATTTGCTTTTCGTATATTTTATATTCTCATAATCTGTACAAAAGTTTCCAGTGATGAATAAAGTATTTGTATTTCCATAAATGTTCATGAATGAACGAAAAGGGTCAATGAACATTTGTGAAAATGACTTCTAGCTTCGAATATTTATTTCGTGACTCTGATCCGATTCTATTCAAGATCTGAAATCTATTGATGACAACTTTATTTGGCAAAACAACGGACCCACCTGGATAACACTCGGCGTATCCCTCGGGCTCCTGTTGCAACTTGTTCAGTATCTCCGCGGACTTTTTCACCATTATAAATTGATAAAACTCGTGTAACAGTGCGTTTTCTGTTATTTATAAATGTTGATCAGTTGGATTGATTATGAAATGACCAATTAACATTGCATCCTTATGAGAAATGTTTGTAGACCACATTAACTTGAAAATTTAACGTTGTTTCAGCACCATCTACTTGTTCATGAATTACTTGAGTATGTACCTCCTCACGACTTGAAAAGGAAATGAATGACCAAACACCCACAGTGTAGGCAAGGGTCGAAATTAGCGAGTATGTCGGCTTGCTGCAAAAAGACCGTTGATTGGCGGTAGGCAACAAAGCGTTGGCACCATTGTCCATGTATTTTGTATTTCTGTTCTTGTTTTGAATTGAGACTTTGTTCTTCTCATAGACAAACCAAAAATAAAGAGACTGTTCAAAACATAGGAAATATTGACCATCAAGTTTGTGCGCAACCCAGTCGCGCATGGAGGCGCTGTTCGCAATCGACAAACGAGTCATGACATGAAACATTTTGAATTTCGACATTCGACAGCACGACAGTATAAGGCCTGTTCGTATGTGTTTGCTCTACTGGTTAAACTTGATTTTTTTTCTATGACTTTCTCTGTTTATATCATGCTATGAACAGAGACAACTATGGAAAAACATTAACTTTAGCAAGTTCCATTTTAGAACGAAGGAACAGACCAATGGAATACAACAGATATTGTTTATTTTCCGAGTTGATGTTGATACTGAAATTCGAGTTTCTCTTTCACATTTATTTCACTTTATTTCCGAGTTTATTTCTATTATTGACAAGGTGAAATTGATAATATTCATGTAGGTTGCACGTAGGTACATTTTTATAGAAACATAAGTGATATTCTTTCATTCTGAACTAACCGAAATATGAACGGAACTGAATTAAACATACATTTTATCGAATTGAAGTAGGTATTCTTGAAGAACGCATGTTAACTGATTTCAGTTTTATGTTTGTTTTATGTAATATTTCAGTATTTCAGATTAAAAGAATATCACAGATGTAAAAGTGTGGTGAGATGTCAAGACCCCGTGCATATAAATTCAAGTGTGCAAGCAAGTGTTGAATAAGTTGATGATACCTAAAAAATGCCAACAAAAATTGTGAAGAAGATGTGACTACCAAATTGGATAATCTCAACTCATTTTTAACTTGCCCAGTGGAGCCAGAGCCATCATCAGTTCTTGTCAATGAGTTGAATGAATTGGTTATTCCAAATTTCGATATTGTGTTTTTTAACTCAGAATTTGACACCCAGGCAACATATGTTCATCATTTTTGTTTGTTTCCTTTTTGTATGATGTCTAGTCATTATTAGGCCGAAGAGTTTATATCTTATTTTGTTTTTTTTTTTAGAGTTTTATTTACTTATTGTTTCATGATATGTAGTTCTCTAGTCTTGGATGGAATAAAATATATTTTTTTAAGTTTTTCAAATTTTTTTTTGCAATTTTCTCGATTAATACAAATTTTGAAAGTAAAGGTTTGAAATAAACCGCCTTATCTCAATCGGTAACTAGAGAATCTGTTTTATCGATCATAGTAACTAGTTCCACCCAGTTGCCAAGTGTGTCGCTCTAAACGTGGTGCCAACTTTTACTGCAGGTTTGACAACTCTCTTTTTATTCGTTTCTCTATGGTTCTTCTAAACTACACAACACTAATTTCGTCGCACCCCAAAATTTTGCCTCTGTCAAAATCTGAATAACTTTTTTCTGAACAGAAAACCAAGTTTTTGGGATGCACTTTTAGCAATTGATCTCACGTGATCTTCCCAAGGAAGGTTATTGATAATAGTAGTACCAAGCATCGAAATTGATGTCTTCAAAGGTATGGTTACCCCTGACAAGCTAATGAGCAAAGTGAGATCGGCTTTTCTAGAATAAAGGCATGCTTGTGTTTTGTTTGCATTGAAATCTACCAAGTTATTGGATCCCCATTCGAGAATTGTTGCCAAGTCCATATTTATGTTGTCAACATTTCTCCCACGTTCGTTTCTGATTTGCCTGGCTGGTATTGGAGCCCTGGAAGAGAAGGCGGTATGGAGGGTACTCTCATCCGCGAAGCTATGTACTGGACATGAAGTTGCTTCCAACAAATCGTTGATATGGAGTAGAAATAGTGTTGGTGCTAGAATTGATCATTGCGGAACACCAGCATTTATGATAAGAGAGTCCAGGGCCGTAACTAGGGTGAGGCGAAGGGGGCGACCGCCGCGGGCGAAAAAATCGATCAGAAGATGACCTCGATGCTTCTGAATTCATTGATGAAATTGAGAGTTTCAAAGTTCAAGCATCAGCTCTTGTGCACAATTTTGACGAGTTGGATCACATTCAAACTCTTCAAATCATTCATGAAAATGAATTAGAGAAAATATATCCGAATATCTATATAGCTTTACGAATATTTCTCTCTGTTCCTGTTACTAGTGCTTCTTGTAAAATATCATTTAGTAAACTAAAACTAGCAAAGAGTTTTTTTGAGGTCTTCAATAGGAAAGGAAAGATTTACCGATATGGCTACACTTAGCATTGAGAAAGAAACAGCTGCTTCAGTAGATTGTGAAGATGTGATAAACGATTTTACTGTAGCTAAAGCAAGAAAAGTACTTTTTTCAATCATCAATTACATATCTAATTACAATGAGAATTGTTCCTGCATTTTTATGATTTTCACTTTGAGATATGCGTAGCAATATTCATTGTGATACTTATCGATTTTTGTTTATGTTGTGAGAATATTTATTGATTTATTCATTTTATTTTTTGTTACATAACATAATTCCTTAGATTCTTGATAGCCTAGCTGAAGTACCTACTATCATGGAAATGGTACCTGTATATTTCGTTAATAGTTTTATTATTGATTGAGTTCCTATATAATATATAGGTAGGTACTCAGAATATTCATTCCTGTTTTATATATTCATACATGCTTGTTTTTTTTCTGAGAGTTTTCAACTTTTTTTTTATATTGAATAAGACTTGATTTTTGTTCATGTTGTGAGAATATTGATTTATTACATTCACTTTCTGTCACATATTCCTACCAAAAATAAACATATTCCTGTATTTTCAGTTCCTGTTTCGAAGAAAAAATGAATAATTATTCGAATTTCTCCGGAAGTGCCTGTTGTTATATAGGGGATGCAAATTCACAAGTTCGCCACGGGCGCCATCCACCCTAGTTACGGCTCTGAGAGAGTCAGATGAAACTCCGTCGACTACCATGGAGAGACCTGTTTGAGACCTAATTTTCTTATCGAGTTCACGAATAGGAGTGGTAAAGTAGAATTTATGGTATGATTAAAAACTCGAGGAGGAGATCACTGCACCTACCTGGATAACACTCGGCGTACCCCTCGGGCTCCTGCTGCAACTTGTTCAGTATCTCCGCGGATTTGTTCACGCGGAAGCCCGGCGCCACATTGTCCACCGGCTCGTCGTCCCGCTTCTCGAAGTAGTCCCGCTGCTTGGCGTCGTCCCGCTTCTTGGCGTCGCGACGCTGGCCGCGCGCCGTCGGCTCGTAGTCGCCGATGTCGCCGTAGATGGAGTCCTCGGTGCGCGGCCGTTTCGCCGGTTTCTTTGCGTCGTCGAGGTCCTCAGGCAAGTCGAGGTCCTTGGAGGGGTCGGTCGGGCCGCGCTTGTTCTTCTTGTTCTTGCGGCTTCCTAGGTAATGAATTCGATTCTCTTGAGTACTGATATTAATTGATTGATTGGTTGATTGATTGTCTTTATTACCCCAAGAAATCTCTCTGCTTGTAATACATACAAAAATATAATAAAGGGTTAATCAATGATTTATACTCAGTGGAAACAAATTAATATTGTTTCTTAAGATGAAAGTTATACATATACAGTGTGACCCACTTCTAATGGAACCACCCCTGTATCTTACGTAATCGTTGGGTAAGGATCCTGAAATTTGCTGGAGCGAGAGATATACCAAAAACGCACTCTATGACCAAGTGGGGTCATCTTCAGTGATATACACTGCTCGCCAACAGCCATGAAACTACCCCAATTTCCGGAAAATGATATTAGGAGTCAAAATAGGTCGAAAATCACTTCAGATTTGGAATCAGGACGCCCAATTTACTAACTATTCAAATTTTTCCTGAAAAATTTCCAGTTCGGAATAATGAAATTTTGTCGCATTTTTTATGGAAGCACCCCCGTAGAATGTATATTTTTTGAAGTATGATAAATTGATATTCATCATACAAGACGTGGAAAGAAATTCTGAACTGAGAAAACCTAATCACGAATCTGCGAATGAGGGCTATAAAAATAACAAGTTTCCATCGCTCAAGTTTGAACCCCTTTTTAATACCTTCACCCAATCAATACTAAGAATTTTGTGGACACCCTATCGTTTGTGAAGTTTTTTACATTTACTATAGATTTCCATCAATTCAATAAAATATAGTTTCCTACGATTATTTGGTTATTATGTAGGTAACAATGACAACGATGTAGTTATTTCCGGCTTAGTTCGGGAAACACGTACTTCCGTTTCTACAGAAGTGATAAGTCATTAAAGTGGACACAATGTATGCGTCAAAGTGTGGAAATAATAGTATATTGTTTAACGAGCAAGAAATGATAGTGATTTCCTACGAGAATGGAGCTTGCAGCATCAGCCATAGGTGAATGCTGCAATCATTCGAGTAGGAAATTAGCATTCCGTGCGAGTTATACACTATAATTTTTCTACGGCTGTAACAGATAACAGCGGCATTCGGCTTGTAGCAATCTAATTTCCTGTCAAGTAATGATCATCTATTAGACAGAGCTGTCATTGCTTGCAATTTGACATTCCATGGGCGAAGAGATTTTTTTGAAATAATGACACAATGGAATCATTGTGATATCAGATACGGAAATTAAATTGATGACATACAGAGTACCTCATTGATGTATTGAGCACAGTAAAACAAGAGCAATTTTGTGTTATAGCCTTAGAAAATAGTAGATTGTTTTATTAGGATCAAAAGTTACAATTTGTTTGACAAGCGAGGCGGAGCGCCTAGCGAAGCCGAGCGAAAGCAAAATTTGCCAGTCAAACAAAGTCAGTTTTGATCTGAATGAAACATGCCTTTTTTTTGCAACAGAAAGAATGCGAAGTAACCTCCAATGCCGTACCATATGTATGCAATGCAATAAATAATCCGTATGGTGAGAATATTCTACCTGCATTAACAGATTAGGTTTATTCAATTTTCGAGGATGTTCGAATTGTAGTTTCGATATAAATACAACGACAGAATGACTCATTTGTGTATGGACTAGGTGTGAGCCCCTAATAGCAAATACCGCGCCAGTGCCAGGTATAGGAAAAAGACGTGGAAAATGTTAGGTTAGTGAGCAAATGAACAATAATAATAGCGATTATTTATTTCTCTCCATACCCCACTGTGTTTGGCTCGGTTATCAAATGAAGATGAATAATTCCGATGTGTAAGACAAAAAAGTATTGCTGGCCGTGATTATTCAAAAACAAGTTATCCATCCAGAGAATAACGGATGAAATACAGATCAAGCAAATATGAGATTCTTTGAGGATTTCCTGATCAAAACAAAAATAACTATAATTATGATGTATTTATATCTCCAGCATGGGTATGAAATGCCAAATCTGCCGAAATCGGAAACAAATCAGGTATGTGTCCCAACCCAAATAACCAATCGTAACAATGTTGTTTTTCTGCAACCGACACAAAAGTCGTCCATTTTGAAACCAAAATTAGCTCTTAAATTAACGTTTCTATTACTGACACAAAAATAGGTATGTTGCTAAGCAACATATTTCAATAGTGTGTTCTCCTTCTATATTAGCCAAACCGTCAGATATATAGAAACAATTCGAATACAACAGTTATAGGGTTTCTTTGGAACACCTAAAATTATTTTCATATCAATAGGGTGTACGAATTCCAAGATATCGGTTGATGATGAGTATTTTCACATGAGACACCCTGAATATTATTACATTTTTAAATCCTTCCTAAGAGCTGATTTCATCAATGTATCGCACTTGGGGACTAGCTGAAATGTTTATAGAGATATAGGGTGTTCAAAATCTATATTTTTCAGCTTTGTGATTTTTGTGTTGAAACTATTCATTATTGGTCGGAACGGCTTACATGTTCCTATCTCAACTTTTGAATCAACTTCTCCTGACACTCAGAGATTTCTGATAATCTTGTATCTATTCCAATTAAATTTCAGTAGATAGTAAATCAAACGTTGAGATAGGGACATGTGACTCATGTGAGCCGTTTGGATCAATAATGAATAGTTCTGACAGAATAAAATTCCAAATTTGAAAATTTTCGGTTCTGAATACCCCATATCCCAATAATATACAGGGTGTCCATTTCAAAACATCCATCATCAGCCGATATCTTGGAATTCGAACATCCTATAGATATGAAAATAATTTCAGGTGATAGCTCTCATAAAATTCTATAGGTGTTGAATTCAATTTTTTTTTATATACCTGACGGTTTGGCTAATATCGAAGGAGAGCACACTATTGACTCACCCTGTATAAAAATGTGAAGTTTATTTGAAACATGAGCCTTACCTTGTCTCAAGTAACTGAGAATTTGTGTTAGTTTACTGATGACTATATCATTTGTTGTTACAGTAGTTGTCAATTCAAACGACGGTACATCCGCCACCGATCTTATCAATGTTGTTGGAATATCACTCTCAGCTTCCTCTTCTGCAAAAAAAAACATTCGGTTTTCAGCATTCGAACCAGTAATAATAAACAAACGATGTAATAGTTATTTGTTCAACTAGTAATATAGTTCTGAAGTAATATTATGCTTAGCTTGTTATGAAAAATAGTGTCGAACTAGCTTAAGAAGCCTCAATTACTCTTAAACATTCAGAAATAAATGATTTCTTGGATGTGCGCTCCATTGTCTCCATTGAGGATTATAATACAAAAATATCAGATAGTTTACATGCTATGCGCCAGATATTTAGTTCGCGTAGTACTTCGGGCACGGTGTTGTAGTAACGTAGGAAACTGAAAAAATAAGTGTCACTTAGCATATTGATATCAATGTAATTTTTTGACGTTTGTAGACAAAAGTATATTTTGTTCTCTGACAGGAAGAAAGTTTGAAATTTCATCTAGACAGGTTATAAAATGTCACTTTTCGTAATGAGTACTTTTTTCCCGGATATATATCACATAATATATATGTCGGCGTCAAACAGTGAAATCCGTCATTCTCTGGAATGCCTAGTCATTTCACGTATTGCCGGCAAACAGCGTAACTCTAAATTTCGTACACCGTTTGCCTAATAGTTTCAGGCATTCCCTGTAATGACGGCAGGAAGGTTTATTTAGGCCGACTCAGTTTATGTTGTTTAGAAACAGTAGTCTCTCCTGTTCTCTCGAGTAGTTTTCTGAAAAATACACTTTCTAGGAAGAAGGTTCATTTAGGTGGAAAAATAGTCTCCCTTCTTATACAGGGTGTTTCCTAACTACGGTTCCTAACTGCAGGTGGTGATTCATTAGGTCATTTTAAGAAGAAAAGTTCCCATTAACATATGTCCGGAGTTGCTTAGTTTCTGAGATACAGGGCGTTGAAGTTCAAGAAAAAAAAAACGGTAATTATAAAATATCATGAATATCCTAGAACCGATTTGGTTAAAATTTGGTACTTTCATTTGAACTAATAAGGCGCTTATTTAGCCCTATTTAGATTGAAATCATTGGGGCCAGTGGCGTCTCAGTGGGCACCACAGCCAACAATATTGTGAAAAAAAAGTAGGCCACTGACTTTTTTTGGTGAATTTTCATTTTGTTTAGATTGAACAACTCAAAATACAACGTTTTAGTCTCTTGCACTTTCTTCATATCCAGCTTCGTTTTCGAGAAAAAAAATCAAAGCCACTGTATTGCATATCATGAACACCTTCATTGGAGAAATCAGTTTTTCATTATTTCCGCCAAAAATTTAATTGACACTTGATATGCTGAAATTTCAGAAAATTTGACAAATAAAAGTACGATATTTCAACCAAATCGGTTCCAGGATATTCATGATATTTTATAATTACCGTTTTTTTTCTTTAATTCCAACGCCCTGTATCTCAAGAACGAAGCAACTCCGGACATATGTTCATAGGAACTTTCCTTCTTGAAATGACCCAACAAATCACCCCCTGCAGTTAGGAACCGTAGTTAGGAAACACCCTGTACATATGAAGAAAGGATATTTTCCTTCTTCAACCTCCGGCAAACAGAGTAACGGCTGAAAATGGAAGTTACGCTGTTATGCTGTTTGCCGACAATACGTGAAATGACTAGGCATTTCAGGAAATGACGGATTTGACTAATTGACGCCGACATATACACTGTTGACGACTCTTGTTGTGCTATAGTTCCGAAAAATAACTCAATAACACCGTCTCCCAGAAAGAACTGCAAGTCCTTTCATCTTCCATTCGACCTTGCGGTTACATAAATTACTGAATAACTACTAAATTCACCATTTTTTCAAAATCAAATCACAGAATTAGACTGACAGATATTTGATTACTTCAAAAGAATGATAAAGGTGCCTGCAACTCAGGTATCATTTCTGTTGAAAACTTCAAATTTCACGTCGATGATTTTCTGATTTTAATATAATGTAATATCTTCTCAATCGAATCACCCTTTTTCTTGTCACAGAAAAAAATATTGTATTACGCGAAAAGAATATTAGATTTCAGCTCACGGTTTTTTCAGAGGAGTTACAAAAAGTGAAAGAAATTGTTCAAATGTAGAACCATAACACTTAATGCACTGTTATTAACGAATAATAAATTCTCCTTAACGAATGTTTATTGAAATCAATTTTCCTCATCGCATACATGGCTATTTCCCATATCAAAGAATTCTTTCCTCTTGACGATGTGAAAGGGCTCAAGAAATGATTAAACCTGGTACTTATCGAGGTATTTTCATCTACTAGTTGTAAAATACCTCCATTGAGAGCAACAGGATCATTCATAGCACTTTCTCTCACAAATTCTCATATGTCAGTAGCAATTACAAAATGTCTCCGAAAAAAAAAATTGCCATATCCAATTCCACTCCCGATAAACACGAAATATCAAAAACGGGAACGTGGTGGCTGGTTAGCTGAGACCCTTCCCTCCACTTTTTTGTTTCATAAAACTTGTCTTATGATGTTTATACAATTTTAAATAATGGCACTGCCAAGAAATCTAAGGATTGTTTAGTGGCGTTTGATCACAAGTTTCAATCTATGGTTTGAATAAATGTCAAAAATTTACTCGCATCCTTACATAATGGGGAATAAGGTTTTTATCTCACTGTGAAATTTGTAAAAAATTAATATATACGTTGTTTTTTCCTAAGATCAAATTTCACTTCAGAAAAAAATAAATAAAAGAGGAACATGGCTCCTCCACCATTCCTATGACGTACTTTCTGAAAATCCACATTCACACAGAGTTAAAATACGATTCCCTGTGCAAGTACGACGTTGCCGACATCATGGATATGTCTAGATTTCCGGAAATTGTTCTTTGAATGCATAATAACTATATCATAACAACAATGGGATTAAATAGATTCTTTAATCCTACTTTGTCAAGTATTGTGAATAATTCCCATAAATCTCTCATTGGCTGAATGAAGTGGATTACTGATAAAGATAAATTATGATATTTTGCGATAGTATCTATAATTTTTCACTATCGTTATATTGCAATATGTTATTCATAACTTGTCATTGTTTTTGCTAATGAATTCGTTCCTTAATAAAACGGATCTATTTTCTAGGAAAGTTGCAGATTATATCTTGCAACCGCGCCTAATTCTTCCAGTCCGTGCACACCACTCAAAATACTGACAGGCACAACAAGAGGAAGGAGCCATGGGTGTCGGCTTCATTCTGTTCTGACCGATGGCAGTAAATTAGGAAGGATAGTATCATTGAATGTAGCCGACAGTGATTCATTGATTCAGTGATATTTTCGTTTTTGATAGCTATTCATTAGCTATTCACTAGCTATATTCTTCGCCATTCTATACAGCATGGACATAAAACTGGAGAGTTCTGAACTTATTTAATAACAATTGATCTGAAGAAAACTTCCCCATTCACGTGGTAAATCCTTGATATTTCTCATTCCAATAATTTTTAACAAATAATATGAATCATCCTGTATGATTTTCTTACCTAAATCAATAACATACGCCATTCTACCTGGTACGAACAATTCTGACCTCTCGATCTGTCTCGACTTCAGCAAGTTCATCGTATAATAAATGGACCTCCCGATCTTCGTCTTGAATTTCATCTCCTCCTCCTCCTTCTTCTGCGCATCCTTCTTTTCCTTCTCCAACTCCTCCAAGGACTTGCTGGCCAATCGCTCCAGCTCTATTTCCTGCTCTTGTTCTATCTGCTGGATCTCGCTGCGCACCTTGAAATACAGGGTTGTCAAGAAATTACCGGAATTTCGTTTGTAAATGATGACTTTTTTATTTATGGACCGAGTTCATTGATTTTGGTCTTGTTAAAGAGCATTGATCAAAACAGCCATTGTGATTATGAGTCGATTATATGCAAAATTGGTATCTGGGGGTTGTCGAAGTAGGAGATTATGATTCTTTGGTCAAAATTGGGAACTTGGAGGCTGGAGGATCTAATATGGCGGACGAGTTTTGTAATTATGATCCGATTTCAATCAAAATTGGTATCTGGGTGATTTCTGGGTCGGAGATTATGATTCTCTTGTCAAAATTTGTAAATTCAAGATAGCGGATCCAATTTGATGGACGAGTTTCGTTACTATGATCAGATTCTATTCAAAATTGTTTTCTGTTTTCGGACTCTGAGATTATGATTCTAACGTCATAATTAGAAAATTCAAGATGGCGGATCCAATATAGTGAATCTATTCAAATTTGTTATATGGCAGTTTTCGGGATCGGATCTTTCGTCAAAATATGGAAATTCAAAATTGGTATCTGGGAGTTTTCGGGGTCGGAGATGATTCTCTCGTCAAAATTTAGAAATTCAAGATGACGGATCCAATATGGCGGACAAGTTTTGTAATCGTGATCCGATTGATTCTATTCAAAATTTGTATCTATGGGTTTTCGGGGTCTAGTCGGAGATTATGATTCGACCGACTTTGTATTTTACTATTTTCCTTAAGATTCTTTTGTCAAACTTGTGTTCTTACAAAAAATATAAAAAACTAAAAATCACGCCTGTGTAGTAAGCCGAACTGAAAAATAGAAAATTATTAGTAGTTTGAAAAACTAAAAAAACACGCTTCAATAGATAGAGAATGTTGCGTTTTGAAACCCCCCTGTATCTCAGCTATCTTTCAACTTATTGAAAGAGTAAAAACTGTCTCTGGAACATTTTTTACGTAGAATCCAGTGGCGTAGTCAGATTTACGAAATTAGCTCTTATTATTCCAAAACCACAAGTTATGTTTTTTTATATAGATCACCCTATATATTTCTCTATATTTGAAACATTGATGCTTTGCGCTTTTCAAAAATATATAACACTTGAAGATATTTCAAGTATTTGTCATGGTCCATATCACAAATTTTTATATGTTCCTTGTTTCTGATACAGTGTTTCGTCACATACTAGTTTCAATAAAATCAATATTTTCCAATAATCAGCACTATAAGGACCTAATAAGTAGGTAGCTATGAAAAAAAAGCGAGTGCAGAAATCTTTGTCACCTACCTGTCGAATTAACAAATTATTCATAAAACGGCTGCTAATAATACAGGATATCAAAACTACGAACATTAAGAAACCAACTTATATCCCAACCATATCTGATTTTTCGTAGATTTTATATCCTGATTAGTATACGTCATCATATGAAAAATTCGTGAATTCGACAGAAAGGTGACGGCTTAGAAACATTTTACACTCGCTTTGTTTTCATAGCGTAAGGTCCACAGCTTCAGCAATACAAGTGATATTCTTTCGTTCTGAACGAACTGACACATTTTACTTGAAATGAACTAAATCAGTTAACATGCAATGAACGTCATTTGATAGAACGCATATTAACTGATATTCAGTTCAGTTCAAGTGAAATAATTCAGTTAATTCAGATTGAAAGAATATCACTACTCTGCAAGTTGTTCAACTACTATTACAAATTTGGGATATTCCCGTCCAACTAGAAAATTGCAAAAGTACAACCAGTTCCTAAAAAAAGGAAAAAGAGCCTACCTAGCAACTACAGACCGATCATACTGCTATCTATTATTTCAAAGATCATGGAGAAAGCAATCAATATCGAGCTCATGGAATACCTGGAACATTCAGGTATTATCAACGATAGGCAATATGGCTTCCGTCATCAGAGATCAACTGGTGACCTGCTCGCTTACTATGGCAGCAATCTAATGAAAAATATGGTGAAACCTTAGCCGTGGCACTTGATATCTTCAAGGCATTCGACCGAGTCTGGCACCACGGACTCCTCGCCAAGCTTCCACCTTATGGTTTGCCTCCCCAGTTATGTTCTCTGCTAGCTAGTTTTCTCACAAACAGGTCTCTTTATGTAGTGGTTGACGGAGTTTCATCTGACTCTCTTATCATGAATACTGGTGTTCTGCAAGGATCAATTCTAGCACCAACACTATTTCTACTCCATATCAACGATTTGTTGGAAGCAACTTCATGTCCAGTACACAGCTTCGCGGATGATAGTACCCTCCATACCGCCTTCTCTTCCAGGGCTACAATACCACTCAGGCAAATCAGAAACAAACGAGGGAGAAATGACAACATAAATATGGACTTGGCAACAATTCTCGAATGGGGATCCAATAACTTGGTAGTTTTTAATGCAAAGAAAACACAAGCATGCCTTTTCTCTAGAAAAGCCGATCTCACTGTGCCCAACATAAGCTTATCAGGAGTAACCAAACCTTTGAAGACATCCATTTCGATGTTTGGTATTACTATCAGCAATAACCTTTCTTGGGAAAATCACGTGAGATCAACTGCTAGAAGTGCATCCCAAAAACTTGGTTTTCTGTTTCGGACCAGGAGCTATTTCACTTCCAGTCAGCTGCTAATGACCTATAAGGCACAGATTCGATCTGTCCTGGAATACTGTTTCCATATTTGAAGTGCAGCACCCAAACATACCCTGAAAGTGTTGGATTCTGTCCAAAAAAAGGCAATTCGTCTCGTAGGTGATGCCTCGCTCACAAACTCACTCACTTCTCTGGAACACCGAAGAAAAGTTGGCGATCTGGCTCTATCTATTTTATAGATATTTTCATGGACGATGCTCTTCTGGAATATCAAAATTTGTTCTTCCCTTGGCAGTCCCTGCGAGATTAACCCGTGGAGTTGAGGCTTCGCACCCCTTCGTGGTCACTTTGGAGACCTGCCGGACATCTCTTTCCAAAGACTCGTTCATCCAACGAACAGCGAGGCTCTGGAACACATCGCCAAGGGACGTGTTCCCCGAGGCATATAACCTCCAGAAATGTAAGAAGAACACCAATTCCTACCTCATGTCGCTTGGTTCTCACGATGTTCTCTGAACATTACAAGATATCCATTTCGTGGGAACCAGATCTTAAAAAAAAGTAAATGAAAATTCGTGATATGGCAATGTTGCCACACATTTACAAGGCTCATTGATGAAAAATATACTGAAAAACTATTAATTATCTGAATTCATGACTATACTGAGAATATCGTGTAAGTATTATATTGTTAGATTCTAAGTTGAGGCATCCTAGATATAGAAACATTGTCAACGCTCAAACACATTTTTTCACTCAAGATAGCGTGTACAGAGGAAACCATGAATTTATGAAATACAACGAACGGCCTTCTATTTCTGAAGCCGATGAATAAGTGCTCGCTTCGATCGCATGGCATGATGATTACGAAATCCGATGAATCGCCACCTTGTGATACGGCATTCCTTCTGATTGCGGGGAGATTTGAACTTCGTCGCTAACAATTCATTTTTGAAAAGCGCAAATCATCGAGGTTACAAATATAAAAAGTTATACAAGGTATTGAATTAAAAAAAAACATATATCAATCAATCAACTTTATTATCTCAGCAGTTAGGTACCCCAGTAAACTGATCTGCTCGTCTAGTTGTATGGTTGTGGTGATTACTATTAATTTGGGAAACCGAATCTTAATGCTTTTGACAATGTTTAACTGAATGAATGAACGACATTAATTTGAATTTATATAGTGAATCTATACCTAATAACTCTCGTCTTCTGAAGGTTGGTAGTAGGTTCCTAATAATTTAGTCTGTATATACATTTAATAATTTTATTTTGAAGAGTTTTGTGTGGCTTCATAATTGATAGTTTTGTTGGACCCCATACAGAAATTAAATATTCAAGTTTAGAATAGATCAAAGAGAAGTATATAGATTTGAGACATTTTATAGGAACTTGATTCCGTACACTAGTATACCTATCATTGGAGATTTTTATTCCAAGTATTTCAATATACTTTGACCATGACAAATGTTCATCTATGTACAGCCCAAGAAACTTGATATTATTTGAATATTTGAGGACTTCATTATTGCATTCAATTGAAGATTTGTTCTCATTATATCTTGATTTTTTTGAGATGAACGATAATAATATCTTCAAATCACTTGAAATTTCATCCCTAATTTGTTGTGCTGAACCTGCTGAATAGATTAAGGTTGTGTCATCGGCAAACCTATAAATTTTACCTTTCAACTACAAAATTGCAATAGAGTTGATATTAATAAGGAATAAAATGGGACCCAATACTGATCCTTGTGGTACACCGCATACTATTTCATCGCTCTTACTGAATGATTCTCTTGAATATACGATTTGTTTCCTATCACTCAAATAATTTTGAAACCAGTAGTAGACAGGACCTCTTAGACCAATACAATACAATTCATTCAAGAGAATTCCATGATTTACAGTATCAAATGCCTTTCTTAAGTCAATTGATAGGAGTCCACATATCTTGTTTGTATCTAGTTGCAATTGGAAATCTGTTACAACATCTATAACTGCAGACTCCGTATAACATGACCCCCGATAAGTCGAAAGAGAGCTGGGATACAGAGATGGTCCCAAAATGCAACATTTTTAATTCCGCCCTGTATCTCAAAAACGAAGCGCGTAATGAAAACTTTGTTTGCGGCATCGTGAGTTTAACGAAAACCGCAAATCTCTATCTTTGGAAATAGGTGGGATATCTCGTAAGGACACCGAAAATGGGACAGCCTTGCTGAATGAAAAAATTCCAATCCAACCTTTTGCAACAGAGCATAATCCAGACCCTTCACCAAGTGGGTGTGCTCCATGTCCCCACCCAAGAACTTGGACTCCTGGATCATCTGCCTGCGGCGCTCGGCGGCATCGAAGCTGGTCTTTAGATCGGGCGCTACGGCCCTGTAGGCTTGCGCAGTCGCAATCGGATCGTCTGCCTGGTAGTCTGGGTTGGCACCTGACAACGAAAATTACATTTTTTCTATGACGGGAAAAACGTTTGAAATTTCATCTCTGTTGATAGGTTATAAAATGTCACTTTTCATGATTTACTTTTTTCCACGAAAAAAGTGAGTACTTTTTTCAGGGATATACATATCACATATATATTCGCGGGAATCAATGTTACCAGGTGGCGCTCGGATTTCATCGTTCCATGTCAAAGTCACGTCAAACTCAATCTCACTCAATCCCATTAGTGCCATTAGCTTGTGTACTGTGTACTGATAAGAGTGATAAGTTTTTAGATTTCTTGACATTAATTGTCGATATTCGGTCGAAAACGCTAATAATGCCTGTTGGTAGATGTTCTTTTGGCAGATATTTTCTCGTCTCGTCTATTTAGACGGAAAAAGCCGACCAGTAGTGGAAGGAAAAGCAGTTCTCCGTGCTAATCATGTGATTTTGTGTGAGGCAGAAGACTTCAACAAAAGGCACATTTTTGCACTTCGGCGATGAAATCTTCCCCACATGATTTAAAATTGAAGTTGGGGTCCAGAGGAACTCCTGTAGAACAATAGATTTGTATTTGTTCTTGCAAAGCAGGACAATCTGGGTATTGTTAACATGTTGTAGCTGTTTTTTTATATGTCAATTGATTTGCTCGTCATAATTAGTTTGAATTGTTTAAACTATCTCCAATTCTTTACCTGTTCACTAAACTAATAAAAATGTAATGATGTGAAAAAATTAACCAACTCAACCATCATCACTACCAACAGTGCCAACACTTTATGTCATTGACAAGTTTGACTACAGCTACAGCAAGCTGAATGCAATGAAGTCTATGCACTTTATCCATAGACAACAGTTTGTTTTCCCCCAGTTTGAAGTTCGTATTATGTAACCTAGATGTCGCCCACTTTGTGAATCTCGCGAATATACACTGTTGATGGTTTTTGTTGTGCTATAGTTCCGAAATATAAACCAATTACAAAGTGTTCGAGAAAGAACTGTAAGTTTTTTTAGCTTCCATTCGACTTCGCGGTTACGTAAATTACTAAACAACCACCAATATCGCAATTTCTTAAGATTAAATCACAGCACCAGACTGACAGATATTTGATTACTTCAAAAGATTGATAATGATGCCTGCAACGCAGGTGTCATTCCTGTTAAAAACTTCAAATTTCACGTAGATAATGGGGTTGTACACACTAGTCGGATTTACGCCACAAACCTATTTCATATTGATCATTCCGTGTATGAATTGTATTTGATGCAATCATTCGTTATTTCAAATCATCGCAAATATATTTTATTCAATAATGAAATTCGACACTCTCGAAAATGCCAGTTTCGATGACGTCATGAACCGAACCGATAGTAATCGTTATATGAATTCTGGCTTCCGCATGAAAAGAAGGATCACATATTTAGACGCTGCCAGATTTGTAACTAGTAATCGCCTTATGAGATTTAATATGAATAATGAAAACAGTATTCACCGTTCACAGAAGACAATAGTTCGACCTGGTCCCTAATAATCACTTATATTGAAAACTTATATACTTGTAAGATGCTTCAGTACCAGATGGTACCAATGAAAATACCCTAGTATTCCTAATAATGATGGAGATTTTATTCAAACCCAAAGCATTTTGTGGCACTGGCAGCAGTGTGATACCCAGAGTTCCCAGAAATACAAGGAGAGAAGAAGACTAACAACAATGTCAACCTAACTTCCTAACTTCACCTTCATCTTCAATATCCTTGTTTCATCTAGTCAAGATGCGAATAGAGATGTATAGAAATTCAACTGGTGCGCTTGCTCCCTATTGAAGGTAGTTTGCAAGTTTCTTGATGGCGCCTACTATGATAAACCTTTGATAAACATACTTGACGTGGGTAAGTCTCGCTCGAGTCTCGCTAAGCTCACCCTGGTTACAATCCATATTTACAGGAAACATATTACCGACCGATAAATATTTGGATACCTATATGATTTGGATCAGAGCAGTGAACTGATTCCTGATCAAAGGATGGAAACGTCAATATGTCAAAAATATTCTTGAGCTGAAAAAATGGTTATTTCTGAGATTGTAGGGTCCCTTGATGGAAATTGACGTCAATTTCCATCAAGGGACCCTATGAGATTGGGGTCAAGTGTTCGTTAGGGACGTATATATTTTAAAAAATTTGTACACTTGCTCAATCTACCCTGTGGAATTGATTGAGGCAACAACAAAAGATAAAATCCAGGTCCGGCTTCACTTAAAATTCACAAATTCTTTCTGCCAGAAAACAACACCCTATACATTCGAATTTCTCATGTTTTTTGCCATATCTGAAAAGAACATCAAAATTTCTATTCAACGATGTGCTTTTCATTCGTGCACAGACGATTTTAACTATTCATATTATGTGCTCAAAATATTATTTTTACTCATTTTGGGGTACAAAATTGGAATCAGACGAGATTCATTAATTATATTACTTCCTATTCAGTATAAGTGAGTATTACATTTAGAAGGAGTATTTCATATCGTTCTTTGTTCCAGACTTAGTTGCAGGTCCGTCATCAAAACTATACAGGGCTTTTCACGATAAGCGTTAATTAGATGTTTCTGGCAAACCAGGTAACGGATAAATCTAAAAATTCGAAGGTATGTATAAATTAACATGATCTACACGTCTGAAATATTTGAAACAATCCGGCGTTGCCGCTTCTACTCGAAAGTAGCAGTAACTTTGATTTTTCAAATGGGACAGCCTGGATGCTTCCTGAAGAGCTGATTTAATCGATTCACAAAGTTCGGGGTCTAGTGGGACTAATAACTGAGATATTTAGAATCATTTTGCGAAAATATTCATGATTGATCAAAACGGCTTTTATGTCCCTATCTTGACTGTGTATCTATTGACATTTAATGGAAACAAATGCAGGATGGTTCATAATTCAGATTTCTGCACCATCCTGTATCTATTTCAATTGAATATCGAATGGAAAGTTGAGATAGGGACATTGAAGCCGTTTTGACCATACAATAATAAATAGTTTCAACACAAAACATTTCTAAAGTTGAAACATCTCGATTTTCCACATCCTATATCTCAGTTATCAGCCCCGCTAGACCTTGAATGTTTTGAATCGATGAATTCTGCTGTTCAGCAAGAATCCAAGAATGTAATGAAATACAGGGTGTCCCATTTGAAAAAATCGAAGTTGCTGCTACTTTCTAGTAGAAGCGGCAAGGCCGGATCTTTTCAAATATTTCATTAGTGTAGATTATGTTAATTTATACATACCATCGAAATTTCAGATTTATCCGTTGCCTGGTTTGCCGAAAACGTCGAATTAACGCTCATCGTGAAACGCCTTGTATAGTTTTGATGACGGACCTGCAACTAAGTCTGGAACAAAGAACGATATGAAATACTCCTTCTAAATATAATTTTTATTTTTTTTTATTTTTTTATTTTATTAGCAGGTACAAGTTTCTGAGATAATACTAATGTTCTTCATGCTATAGTTATACAGTTGAAGTTTCAAGTTATCACAGACAACTAAGGCTATTCTTACATCTATTAATCAAACATCATCAAAACAGACTAAGCATTTCATTATTGCTAATATTTTTAGGTGCACAATGGTATTTGTAATACTGTGCGTGCACCCATTTTTCGGTTTTAGAGTTATTTTCGAGGTCATAAGTAGGTAATTGTGTCACATTCTGCTGGTTAATAAAACTATTTCGCTGTTGATTTGTAGTTTGAATCCGTTGTGTACATATTATATAACATAATTAATTTTATATTTACTATCTACAATCCATTCTGTTAAGGTCTTTTTAATTCTGTGGTAACCCTTTAGCTTAAGGCTGTCCGGTAAGTCATTGTAAATTTTTGGGCCCACGCAGTAAATGTGATTTTGACAAACTTTGTGCTTGGGGTTTTGTAGCTCAACTTTACCTCTAGCGGCATTTCTTGTATTTTGGCAATGTTTTATGTTTACTTTGTAGTCGTTGTTATTTATCATTAATTTTATGACTGATTTCAAATGGAGTTGTTCAATTTTTAGTAATTTACTTTCTTTGAACACACTATCGCTAGGATATCTTTTGTTTTTGAAAAGCATAATTTTTATAATCCATTTTTGGGATACTTGTAATTTTGCTAAGGCTGTTGGACCTGCGTTTCCCCAAACCACCAATCCATAGTTCAATAATGACTCTGCTAAAGCGAAATAAATTGATTTTAGAGTTTTGAGAGGTACTATGTTTCTCAGTTCATAGAATTTATGAATTAGTTTCCTAATTTTTGTAGATACATACTCTACATGTTCTTTCCAAGTGAGCTTTTCATCCAAGACAACTCAAAGATATTTCAAACTGGTTTTTATAGTCATATCACATTTACATCACATCCTATAATAATACTCACGTATACTGAATAGGAAGTAATAAAATTAATAAATCTCGTCTGATTCCAATTTTGTACCCGGAAATGAGCAGAAATAATATTTTGAGCACATAATATGAATAGTTGAAATCGTCTGTGCACGAATAAAAAGCACATCGTTGAGTAGAAATTTTGATGTTCTTTTCAGATATGGCAAAAAAATGAGAAATTCGAATGTATAGGGTGTTGTTTTCTGGCAGAAAGAATTTGAGAATTTTAAGTGAAGCCGGACCTGGATTTTATCTTTTGTTGCTGCCTCAATCAATTCCACAGGGTAGATTGAGCAAGTGTACCAATTTTTAAAAATATATACAGGTTGGTTGGAAAGTTATGAGACAATGAAGATATGGATGCAATTGATGAAACATCCTGTATCTCGGTTATAAGAAGTCGAAGACCCATCAACCATGGGTTTTTTCAAACCACCCCAGTGACCCCTATTCACAGTTGAATTATTTACCTTTCCCAATGAAACACCCTGTATAATACCTAATCCACCATAGAAAAAAGAAAATCTCTGTTCTACAACAGTATTATTTCAGTGATTTGAAATATTAGCTATTAGCATAGACCTATTATCCCAGGATAATAGGTCTATGGCTATTAGTGTGAACTGGTGTGAATAAATTTCCAAGGTGAGTTCCAGTTACCATATCTGTGTATTATGATTTTCAATATTGGTCTAATTCAATAGTTGATACATTCATTGTTCTGGTTCTTCAAAGAGGAAATTCATCAGATTTCATGATTTAAATAGGTTCATGTCATGAAAGAAGTGAAGCTTATTAAAATCGGCTACAAAAAAGATTTCTTGCTTCTATTTCAAATTGAAATTTGAATGAAAATGTTGAGCATAGTATTTTATTCCACCACAGAACAATGATGGAAATAGATTTATCCCTCACAGAACCAAGGTTTTGAACGATTTTCCGATTATGGCGCCTCTATCGCGAATACCTGAACCCCACGTCCAAAACTCGCTTGCAATTGTTCCATATAGAGAGTTAGTCTGAAGAAACAATTGAACAAATGAACAGTTAAATTTCTATACATCTCTATGCAAATATTCAAAGGTATTTCTCTTATTAACTGATTCTTCAGTAATGTGTATTTACTTGATTTGATAAATATATAAATAATAATCAATAATAATATAGTGTGAGGAACAGTGGCGTTAAAAACAATAGTGAAAATGTTCAAAACATGAAGTGAATAAAAATGAAAATGATAATAAAGTAATAGAAAATTGATTTCAAAAAATTAGAAAAATTGTAAATATCAATGTGAAGATCAAGAATAAAAAAAAATGTAAAAAAAAACAGTCCATTAGTCTATCATTGTGTAAAACAAAACATAGTCTGGTCACATATAGAAGTGCCATACACTATAATAGAGCTGTTAGTACTTGACAAGCACACACAGGGTGTTCTCAAAATTGAGGCATCCATTTCAACATGATGTAGACCTTGAAAAGAAGTAGGCCAATTTCAAAGCACCAGATCAAATTGATGCCTCTAGTTTACTGGAGTTCATTCCCCACCACTGATTATAATGGCTTGTGATGGAATTCACTCTCACTTCAGGAGATCATTGAAAGAATCAAGATTTTGGCATATCTTTGGTCATGATAATGTGATAAAATGAATGACATCAGTTAGATTCAGATTCAAATTTTTGTGAAAATTTGAGATAACCAGGAACTATGGGGGTTGTCTCAGCTAGTAGATAGAATTTCCACACATGTCAACACATGTGCATAGAAATGAAGTCAGACATTCAAGTATCATAAATAATTGATGAAGAGTAAAATTATATTATGAAACAATTAATGGAATGCAATCTCCTGTTACTCCCCACACAGACCAATAGCAAAGAATATTAGTGCTTTACATTGCATAAATATTTTCATTTTTTTGATATTCTTTGTCAATAGCATATGTATGAGAATGTTGATGATGAAACTAGATTAGAAATCATTGTTTGAAGATGAGTTTTGCCTCAACAATCAAACTGTCTCATTGGGTTCAATCTCTAAACAATTCATCAGACTGAAAACTTCTGGAAAATATTAGTTTTTACACAAAATCCAGGCAGAAATCAAAGTCCAAGTTCTTGTATGTTAAAAGGGATGTTGATACACACCTGATCTTCTTTCCCCAGCTCTGTCCCGGTACTTCTCTGCCAATTCAGCCATTTTATTGTCTTCTTGTTTCTTCAGCTTGGCATAGTAGCTCTTTTTCTTGCGCCTGGCCTCTGACTTGTCTTCAATCTTGGGGGGAGGCATGGAATTGGGATTGTTCATCGCCTCCTTTATGGAACCCACTGGTGCTGGGGTATGAGAAGGAGTAGCCCTTGGGGTCATAAGGAGTTTGCGAAAGTCATCATTGGTGAGACGTGATGAGCCTGGGGTCTCAGCCATCTCCACTGATTTTATTCACTAATAGAAAAAAGTATTATGGTTTTAGCAAACACCTGGCCTGAAATTATGGAGATTTTATCAATATCAGTATTCCAACTTCTAAGGGATTCTTGTTTTCCAAGAGATTTTCTTTGTTTACATTTACATAACCCCAATTTCACTTCGTTTTTGTTATGACAATTATGACATTGACAATGATGTGCTTTGACATTTGATTGACACTATTGACATTATATTGAACATGTCTAGTGTACCACTGCCAGCAAAATAGACTGAATGAAATAACTGAATAATTTACGGATTAAACGACTTACCTGGTAAGGTAAGGAAGTTCAATCCTAATTATACGAGTGGTTCCGTAGAGTAGGTCACGAGTGTAGTGTGCTCCATTGCTGTCGAAGAATCATACAGTACATTCAAAGAAACGCGCCTCTGCATCTCGGTGTCCCGTCGCTACTGTCATCTGTCACCTCATTGCGAAATCCAATTTATTAGATCGCAGGGGGTAGAGCGGGAATTTTAACTGGGTGGGTCTGACCTACTCTACGGAACCACTCGTATAATTAGGATTGAACTTCCTTACCTTACCAGGTAAGTCGTTTAATCCGTAAATTATACTTCATGGTTCCTTCGAGTAGGTCACGAGTGTAGTTGTTCAAAGATCAGCGATCTAATGCTCAGGAGACGCTTTAGTTCAATAACTATTTATTTTACAAAAAATATATAAATTTATTAACAAATAATTTTCATGTACATTACAGGTTGAACTCCTTGACAAAAAATTCATGTTTCCTGCCTGCTGCTGGCATTATTAATTTTTTGTTCTCAGACTCAAAATACTTTCCTGGAAGCCATTAGCTTGTTGAACTGGTCTATTATAAAACCTATTGAAACTTGTAGATCTATCTGACCATCCAGCAGTTGTTCTAATTATGTCTATACTTAATCCTGTTCTAAGGGCTGCCGAAGAAGAAGCATGTCTTGTGCTATGAGATTTAAATATTTGGGTGTTAATACCACATTCCTCGAGTATCTTTCACCCATCTGCTGATTGTTTGTACTGAAGCAGCCTTGTAAGGTCTCTTGTGACTTATGAATAGGCTATCAAGGCTATCATTTTCCTTTCGTATATCTCTTGTTATTTTTAGGTAATGTCTTAAAGTAATAGCTACACATAACCCTGGTTGCTCAGAGAATAACTTAAAACTTAACAAGGGTTGTGGAAAGTTGGGCCTAGATGTCTTAATTATGTCGGTTATAGGGATATCAATACTATCCTTCTTCTGAAGGATATTGCTAATTTTTATTTTTGAAAGTGTTTGCATTCGCTGAGCAGTTGTCAAAGCCATTAAAGTTATTAGCTTCTTTGTAATTTTCTCTAAGGTTAATGATTCCAGTGGGTACCACCTCTCTAGTGTTAATAACACTGGGGTTGGATCCCATGTGAATTTATATCTAGGAAATGATGGTCTCAGTTTGAATACACCCTTAAGGAACCTTCTTATGTTTTCATTGTCTTTTATATTATGACAGATTAAGGCCAATGCTGAGCGAATGCCACATATTGAAGAATAGGCTGCCCCATGAGAATACTGAATTTCCATAAATCTTAAAACATCTTGTGCTGAAGCTTCATATGGACAAATAGATTCTGCCATGCAAAATGTCCACCACTTGCCATATGTTGAACTGTATTGTCTCAGAGTTGCTAGCGAAAATGATGCTAGCATGGTATCTATAGTACATTCTGGAGCTCCAGACCTTAACAATGATGCCCTGATAACCTCCCTGCCACCAGGGTAAGGTTCTTCCAAATTGGGTGGCTGGTTCTGAAAGGAGACGTTAGTAAGTATTTATCTGGTTTAAATAGAATTGGTTCATCCACAAGCATTCTAATGAATAATGGGTACCATGGTTGTGCTTTCCATCTAGGTACAACTAAAATGCCCTCCCATTTTTCTGTCCTTATTTTATTGAGAGTTCTTGCTATCAAACTGAATGGTGGAAAGGCATAAAAAAAGAAATTCCATGGAATCGTAAAGGCATCTATGGCTATAGAGTTAGGATCATGTTTCCATGAAACAAACTTATCAACTTTGGCGTTATTGGTTGATGCAAACAAGTCTACTTCCGGTTTTCCCCATTTCTGTACAATATTCTCAAATTTTCTACTGTCCAGACTATATTCAGTTTCTATAGCTTTGAAGCGTGACTCTTTATCTGCCAAGGAATTATCTTTAGATTTAATGTAAGTGGCAAAAATGTGTAGATCTTTTAGTTCACACCAGTTCCAAATTTCTCGAGAAATCTTGCTCAATAGACCACATCTTACTCCACCCATTTTATTTATATATGATATTGCTACTTTATTGTCTACATGCAGTAAAATACTACATGAAGATAATTCTTTGGCAAAACATTTTAATGAATAGAAAACTGCCTTGAGCTCTAGAATATTGATGTGTAACTTAATTTCTTCACTTGTCCAAAATCCATGTGTGCTGATATCTGCACAAACTGCACCCCATCCAGATGGTGATGCATCTGAAAAGATCTCTAAGACAAACTTTTTATTTACTTCCAAGGATTGACTAGCTGACATAATGTTTCTCAACCACCACCTCAATTCATTTCTACATTTTTCTCTTATCTTCATTATTTTATCATAATTATTATTTTTATACAAGGCTATTGTCTTTTCTTTCTCCAAAAGCTTTGTGTGTACCCAACCGTACTTAACAGCTGGTGAAATTGAGGTCAAATATCCTATTACTTTTGCAAACACCCGGATTTTACAAGCAGGTTTATTCATGATATAATCAATCTCCTCAACAATCTTTTGTTTCTTTTCTTCTGAAATGGAAATTGACATATTTCTGGAGTTGTAAATGAACCCTAGAAACTTACAAGACTGACTTGGGATAAGGCAACTCTTTTTATAATTTATAATAAACCCCAGTGATTCTAAAAATTTTAGAGTATTGATTGTTTTTCTGTGGCTGTTTTCATAAGAATCTTCAATGATCAATATATCATCCAGATAATTTATGCATAAAAGGCCATCAGACCGCAATGCCTGCATAACAGGCTTGAAAAGCTTTGTATATACATATGGGGCTGAGGAAAGGCCAAACGGCAAGCAGGAAAATTCGTATACTTTGTTATCAAAACTAAATCTCAGGTACTTTCTGTAATATATATCAATTGGTACCAGGAAATATGCGTCCTTAAGGTCAATTGAGGTTAAGTAACATTCTTTAAAAATTAAATTGTGAACTGTCTTATAATTTTCTAATTTGAAATGTTCTAGTATTATGAACCTATTCAAGTTCTTTAAATTAAGAACAAACCTATACTTTTTATTTGGTTTTGAAATCAAAAAGTAAGGTGACAAGAATTGGTCCTTAACTGGAACACATTCTTGTATGGCACCAATGGTGATCAGTTTCTCAATCTCCCATGCCATAAGCCTATGGTTAGTTTCTGATAATGGCAAGTTTTTTGGAACCCTCAATTGAGTGGGTCTCCTATTAAAAGGTATTTTATAACCAGAGATCCACCCTAATACAACTGGATTAGTTGTCACCTTTGACCATTCTAGGATGAATTGACCAAGTCTGCCTGCATACTCTACCTCTACTGCCGAGGCTGATACTGCTGACGAGTCTGATACTGCTGACGAGGCTGATACTGCTGACGAGGCTGATACTGTTGATAGTCTTGGTGTGATCTTCTCCTGCTCCCATCTCTTCCCCCTTCCTTCTTTTTTCCTTTCATTTTCTGCTTGTAGTTGCTGCGCTTGTAGTTTAAATAATTCTTAGTACTGGTGCTAGGTGCAACTTTCAATCCAATTTTCATCTTTTCAGCCTCCTGTAGCTGCTTAATGCCATTACTTAAATCATTTCCAAATAAATGAACATCAATTTCACTAGAGTTCAATAATTTGTGTAATTTGAAGTCAACTGCAGGAATTATGCCCATTCTGCGATGACCTGATAATCTATAATGAACTCTGGTAAACATCTTAGATGCATCTGAGAGTGTTGACAATAATTCCCTCTTTTCCAAAAACTCCATGGCCATTATTTGGTTGAAAGCCTCACCCAAAATACTCAAACCCAAACCTAATTGGTCCTGTAATTTACTAGTGAAAATATCTTGTTTGAGTGATCGTTCAGAGAGCACTGCCTGAATCTCTGGATTCAGAATGGGGGCTTTCAAATGAGGGCAATTTGTGGAAAAATTCCAATGTTCCAAAAGTTTTGTTTCTTGGTCCTTGTCAAACCCTGCCTTTAAATAACTTGTCCACCTTGAAACCAGCGGCGGAGGCAAAGCCTTCCCTTCTACTAGTTGTTTGGTAGGGTCCGTCCCTAACACATCATCCATGTCATCCATGGGGGCTATGTTTTCATCCATGGGTGTTGTATTTTGTATTTCTCCCAGGGGTGACCTTGGGTGCCATTCCTCCACTGACCTCTCTGAGTCACTACAGGAGCTCTCAGATTCTGAGCCTGTCAAAAACAAAAATTGAAATATTAGAATTCAATAATGATTCTCTACTGTTTTCTGTTGTTCTCATATATGGACAGTGGTCTGTATAGAGCTGGATTGTACTGCAAAGCAGGCTGAGCTCTCATGATCATGATTATATATAAAAAGAATCATAACCCAATCATGTCCACTGCAAAGCAGGGACGTTGATTGTTCAAGTGTTCATTGGGTACCTATACTCCATACCCATACACAACATCAATTCCACTGCAAAACAGGGATGATGTTGATTGTTTCAGGTGTTCATTGGATATTCATTGGGTCTATCACATACCCATGTACAACATCGATTCCACTGCAAAACAGGGATGATGATTGTTTCACCTGACTTATATCATTAGTTCCATCGCAAACGAGGACTAGATGATATGAATTATTTTAGCGGCTACATGTGGTAATCTATGGCGTCATTGTGGCGTGGTCTTCATAACCTACAACAATTCGTTTTCATGATCAACTTACTTGACGATCCTAGTCGTTCTAGTTTGGATTCCAATTTTCTGAACTTTTCTTTAAGTTTGATATATTCCTTTGACTTCCTCTTCGGCATATTTTTTCCGTTTTAAAGTTATAATTATCGAACGCATGTACTCTTCCGTCGACATACAATTTCGCAATGAGGTGACAGATGACAGTAGCGACGGGACACCGAGATGCAGAGGCGCGTTTCTTTGAATGTACTGTATGATTCTTCGACAGCAATGGAGCACACTACACTCGTGACCTACTCGAAGGAACCATGAAGTATAATTGAAAATACTAAAATAAATTGATTTCTCACCTCGCCGTATATAGCATGGCTCGCGAAATATCTCCCCAGCGAAGGTATAAGCATGTACAAGAAAGCAAAAGTTGCGGTCTCAGCACTCGCAGCAGTACTCGGCAATTCCATTTTCTTGAGATCCCGTAACCCGTTATAAATCCGTTCCTGTAGTTCTAGGCACTGCAGAAGTTGTTTATGTTGTCAATATTTTGGTTTCCGAATTTTTATTTTGTTCGAACAAAATAGAAAAACATCTTTATTAGTTGTATTTTGAAATTTCATGAAACCGTTTGTTGTGGCACAAAGAAATTTCATCAATATTTGAACCTGCATTCATGCATGATAAGTACAGAACAACTAAACGTTTGTTAGCTGTTGCTCTTGCTTTGATGTTCATTTGGGCTTGCCAGCAGATATTCCAGTAAATTTGATATTGAAGTGTTTATAAGCAATGTCTAAACAAAAAGTATCATACTTTTTCAATCCTGATGTTGGAAACTTCCATTATGGGACTGGCCACCCAATGAAACCCCACAGGCTGTCTGTTATTCACAGTTTGGTGATGAATTATGGACTCCACAAGAAAATGCAGATTTATAGGCCCTATAAAGCCAGTGCCCATGATATGTGTAGATTCCATTCTGATGAATATATAGGTGAGTAAATACCCAGGTAAATACCTCGGATTTACCCCTCGGTAAATACCAATGAGTAGAAGTCATATTATAATGGTAAAGAACACATGCATTTGCATTCAATGACTGTATTCCAGATTTTCTTCAGAAAGTGACCCCTCAAAATATCCAAGCTTACACTAAACACCTCAGCCATTACAATGTAGGAGATGATTGCCCAGTATTCTATGGACTTTTTGATTTCTGTGCCATGTATACAGGTGCTTCACTTGAAGGTGCTATGAAATTGAATAACAATGACTGTGATATTGCCATCAACTGGTCTGGTGAGTGATTTTACCCAGCAAAACCCCAAAATTCAGCCATTGATATATAAAATTGTTGACTTTTGGTGTAGGATTGATTGTGAGGTTTTCTTTCTATTATTATCATACTGTTTACAATTTGCTGTTGTACACTGTTCAGTGTCTCAGAGTTTAATTCATAACTTACTTTTCAATTAATGAGTAGGAAAGAATCAACACAGAAACATTTAAGGACATGCTATTCTAATTCTATTCTCTGCTTCCTAATATCTTCCACAAGTTGAGAAAATATCTGAACATATAGGAAACAAAATCTCTTTATTTTTCATATGAAATAATATAATTAATAATTTTTTGCCACTATTTTGAATTGTCAAATCTATTCATCAAATGTTTCCATTCTGCTTTATTCAACATAGGAACATATAGGGAAATTGAATATTCTCTCAAAAATCTTCCACAAGTTGAGAAAATGAAATTCAGGGACATATAGGGAAACATTTTTAAAACAGTTCTTAACAAATTGAAACACAGGGACATGAAAGGGAAATGAAATTGCCAAGGAAATTGCTTTTCAAATATCTCCCATAAGTTGAGAAAATTCGTCACAGGTAGTTATAGGAAAAAAATCAATACTAGGAAAACCTCGAGGAAAACCATGATTTTTGGGCAGAAAATTAAAATTTTCATATCTAGCAAAAAGCAAAGGGATGGTGGAATTCCACTCTATTGTACAAATTCTCTCAGAAACAAAAGTGATCCTCCATGATAATGTGTCATTAGTTCTTCCCAAAAATACTACAGTACTACATTTTCTGATCACCTATTTAAAAAAAAATAGTCTGTTTTTTCGGACTCCCTGTGTTTTATGATGATGAAAATCAGTACAGGTGTGTTTCAAGTGATGGTGATACAGAATGCATCATCATTTTTTGTGGAAAAAATCCAAATATGTGTCAATAAAGTTGGTCACAGTTGGCCATGATAACAGTCCAAGAATAAAATAACCAAGAAGATAACTCTCTTGTTGGATGGACTTTTCAAATACCTATCCAACAAAAAGAAAAAAAATCAAAATCGACCAGATACTAATGATTTCACAGGGGTGGTAAGCTCTTATAAGGTCAAAACACTGTAGGTAAATGGTGTTTTACTTGGTATTACTCTCAAACATCTTCCACAACTTGAGAGAATTTAACACAGGGACATACAGTGTGTCCATAAAGTGAGGAATAAATTCGATATTATTTCCTAAACGGGAAAAATCTGAAATGCATTGATTTTAAATTCAGAAGTTCTACATTTGACTACAAAATTTTATTGTACAGGGTAATACAGATTAAGTTGATAACGTCATCGGCAATTTTTTTTTAATGTACCAACCTATCTTTTGTGACATTTTTGAATCAATAAAAATGAGCTCATTCCATGAAGGCATAATACTTGGAGTCACAAAACACAGTGTGTCCATTGAAAAAATTGCCGGTGACGTCATCACCTTGATGTGTATCACCCTATTTAATGAAATTCTATTGTAAAATGTAGAACACTCATATTAAAAATCGAAGTGTTTCAGATTTTTTTTGAAAATGCGTTTAGTTCAGGAAATATTGCATTTATTCCATACTTTACGGACACACTGTGAGTATATAAAAAATTAATTCGAATTTTTTTGCAACAAGTTGAGAAAAACTTGATACATATCTACTGCAATTTAATTGAAAAAAATACACGATGCTTCAAGATTCAGAATTCTGATCACCCTGTATCTGTCCCAATTAAATGTCAGGAGATAATGGATCAAAAGTTAAGGTAGGGACTAGTGATCGACCGATATGACTTCTTTAGCCGATACCGATAATCGGCCGATACCGATAATGTCTTGGCCGATAACGGTATATATCGGCATATCGGCCTTTTTCAATTGATAACATTCATTATTAATTATTATTGTCTAAAATCTCTAAAATCTGAATACTGAAAACTATAGAAATTGATAGTGATGACAACGAACCACTTGCTAAGTATGTTCGAACTTCTGAACCTGAGACTAGTCGAACATCTGGCCAAAATCTGTTTTGGAAAATCTACGAAGACTTTGCCGGAGAAGGGATGAGCTCCACAAAAACAAAAACCATTCCAACAACATCTTCTTGTGACACAAAATCATCTTCTAGAGCATCCATTTGTGAAAAAGTGAATGCTGAAATTACATAATATAAGAAACATCCTCTTCTTGAAAGAAAAGCGAATCCCATTTCTTGGTGGCAAGAAAAAAGAGAAGTTCTACCATTATTATATAATCAAGCTCTTATATATTTATCTGCACCAGTTGGCAGTGTTGCAAGTGAGCAAATGTTTTCAGAAGCTGGAACCGTAAATTCGGCGAAAAGGAATCGGCTGAATCCAGAAACAACCGAGACCCATATTTTTTTACATGATAATTTGCCAAAACTACAGTATTCATATGAAATGCCTATTTCATGTTTCATCTACCATAATTTCTTAAGATTACCTCATTTCAAATATTACTTTAAATTTAAATATAAAAAAAATGTTTTAAGCTGCTATGGTTGTCTTTATTTATACATCGGCCGATATAGCCGATATATACTCACATCTATCGGCCGATACCGATAATCGGGCATCGGTATCGGTATCGGTCGATCACTAGTAGGGACATGTAAGCCATTTTGATCTATAATGAATAGTTTCGACACAAAGAAACCCTAAAATTGATAAATATTGATTTTGAACACCCTATATCGCTGTAATCATTCCTGCTAGACCCCAAGTGTGATGCATCGATAAAATCAGCTCTTCAGGAAGAATCTTAAAATGCAATAAAATACAGGGTGCTCCGAGGGGTGCTCCATTTAATATAACGAAGTTGCTAGTTGTTTCTGCAAGAAGTGGCAATACTGTATCGATGAAAATATTTTTGACGGATAGAGAATGTTTAATTATCAAAGTATCCCCAATTTTCAGAATGTTCTGTCTCTTCATTCTCCAGATACTAGGTATTGTTCTTTTTTGGTTCATTCATATCATTAGTACCTGTATAAAAATTCATTACTTATTTTGTAAAATTAATTTAAACAGAGCGTGCCGAAATATCATGCAATTTATAAGTGTATGTGATTAACTAATAATACTTTTTAGTAGTAGATCAATATGCAAATCAGGAGATCTACTGAAAATTTAGTAGATTTGGCAACCCTGCAGCTGACGAAAAGTGTTTACGGACGAAAAGTTAGTGTTTGCGGACGAGAAGTACTTGCCTTCGGCAATAGTCGGTTTTTCGTTCGGAAATTAGAGCATACAATGTGACTTTTTGTAGAGGTCCACAAAAAAGTAAATTATGATATTTGTCTTGCAGGTGGATTACATCATGCGAAAAAGTTTGAAGCTTCAGGCTTCTGCTATGTAAACGATATAGTTATAGGAATATTAGAGTTACTCAAACACCATCCTCGTGTGTTATACATAGATATTGACGTCCATCATGGTGATGGGGTCCAAGAAGCTTTCTATTTGACAGACAGAGTTATGACAGTGAGCTTTCATAAGTATGGCAATTACTTCTTCCCAGGTAAATTGATGCTTCCATATCAAATGTTTGGATGGTTTATTTATTTCTGTAATTTGTTTATTCACTGATTATTCACTGATTTTCATTGTAGGTACTGGTGATATGTATGAGATAGGAGCAGAAAGTGGTAGATACTATTCAGTGAATGTCCCACTGAAAGAGGGTATTGATGATGCCAGTTATTGGCAAGTTTTCAAACCTGTGATTTCAGCTGTTATGGAGTTTTATCAACCGACCGCCATTGTTTTACAATGTGGTGCTGATTCCCTCGCTATGGATCGGTAAGTTTCAATACCTTTCCATTATTTAAAGCATTTGTTAAACTTGCTTTGTTGTCTGTGTGCTAGAAATCCTGCAGCTTAAAATTTGACAGGTGTAGGTATTTAGTTCCGGAGATAATGTAATTTGACTCTTGTTGAAAAAGTCAAGATGGCGCCTCCAAGATGGCGGACGAGTTTGTTATTTCTTGTCAGATTCAACTGTGAATGTACACTTGGGAAATTATAAATCTGGGGATTTTGTCTTCAAATATTAGGAATGGCTTCTTTGAAATGGTGGACGAATATTTACAGCTGGTTTTGTGGAACCAGAAATTGAAAACAAAACATATAAGAATGATGAAAATGTGGAGAATGGAAATCTGCATGAGTGGTACTTGTACCTTGAATAACTGGAGGTTATATATTCAATGGTGCTAATAATAACTGCTAGTGAGTTAATTCTGAGAAATTTCATTATGAGCTATGAGATAATAAGATTGAGCTATCACTTGAAGAGGGTTCATAATCGATAATATTCAAAAGTAAATATTGGTACATATTTGCACAAATAGAAAATCATTTGTTATTGGCTATTTGGCATTTGCAACTCTGGATTCAGAATACTCAACTAGAATAGTCCCAATATTTTATTGAGAAGTATTCAATAGCAAAGAAGTTGTCAATAATCGCTCCAACGAAGTTAACACAGTCGTTCTTGAAGTAACTAGTTAAAAAGAGTGATTTAGTATTCTTATTTCTCCCGTGGAAAATTCATAACATTCTAAGTACCTCTTTGGATCTGCTGCCAAACCGACAATTCAAGAGGATTTTTTGGATAATACATCTTTTTCAACTCGGCATGAATAGCTTTTTACAAAAAAAAGAACAACCTTTATAATATAATGATAAACCTATAACAACATGAATTTCCTAAAGTTAAACGTGGCGGCACCGCAAAGTTTCGTAGTAGACGAGCAGTAATCGTTGTAAGAAATGTCATTTGTCGTTTTTATTGTTATTAATGGTTTCCCAACTGTAGTGTGGTAGGTTTTCGGTATTTAAGTAACTCATTCGATATTATAAATCCAAAACAGACTGTTCTGTGAATAAATATAGGTCTGCAATGTGAAATCTGTAAAGGAAAGTTAATTTCAAATATCCGAACCTAATATTTCACAGGTACATAGGAATTTGGACAGTTTTTTGAGACTCACTTTTGTTCATGAAGAACATATTCAAAATATTGGAAATATCCAGTAACCCCTCAAAGATGTTACAGAATGATGTATTATTATATTACAATACCTGAAAGTATGAATGTATCAATGGAAATTCACACATTTATAGAATATATTATATCCATGACCTATGAAGAATATCAATTCTTTCGAAAAATTTCCGCATAGTATCCCCATCATTCGTGATTTCATTCATTTATCCGTGTTGAGCGTATATTTTTTATTGATTCATTATTAATTTGGTCAGGGGTCGTTATCCAACTAGGTTAGTCTGTATACAACGCTCACATCGACTTGGAACTTTCCTTCCAGATTCGGCTGCTTCTAGCTCAGCACCAATGGCCATGGAGATCACGTCAAGTTCGTCAAAAAAACCTCAACGTCTCCACTCTGCTGGTCGTAGGCGGCAACAATTACTGATTCATTAATGTTTATATTTTTCTTTTGTACCTAAATAGAGTGTCTCATTCTTCTCTTCCAGACTCGGTTGTTTCTCCCTGAGTACCAAAGGCCACGGCGAGTGCGTCAAATTCGTGAAGAACCTCAACGTCCCCACTCTGGTCGTAGGCGGCGGCGGGTACACTCTGAGGAACGTCGCTCGATGCTGGACGTACGAAACGTCGCTGCTGGTCGACGAGCAGATCTCGAACGAGATGCCTTTCACGGAGTACCTGGAGTTTTTCGCACCGGACTTTACGCTGCATCCGGAGGTGGTGACGCGGCAGGAGAACGCGAATAGCAAACACTATCTGGAGGCTATAACGAAGTGAGTGAGTCAAGTCAAGTTGAAGTCAATGAGTGCTCGAAAAATGAGGGATATGGAATATAAAGTTGTGAACATGACATCTATGAAATATACAGGCCGTGTCTCACGGCCCACCAATTTAATCAAATTTGTTTGATGTGACGTTGTTCTTGCCTGTTTGACTTAAATGGTTCGAAATGTCAAGAAATCTTTGTCTCACGATTTCAAGATTGTTCACTTCTGTTTTAGTGTCATTTACACAGATCTTCGACTCGCCAAAGTATGGCATGACTCCCCTGTCCAGATGAATCTGGATTTGGGTCCTGGCAATATCCGAGTCGACCGAGTGCGCGTATATTGCCGTATCATCAGCGTATAGCGCCGCACTCGTTCGCTCGAATACAGGGAAGTCATGTGTATAGAGGGTGTATAACAGAGGTGAGAGACAAGACCCCTGAGGAACACCTGCCTTGAGTGGAAAATTTCCGACGAAAGCCATTCGTTGTTGTTGAATCTTTGCCTCGTTTAGGGATAGGTACAACAAGCCCAGTTTTGGAGCAATCTGGGTAGTGCTGGTATCTAATTATGGCATTGGTGAGATAGTGTAGTTGCATTATAGCCTTGCGAGACAGGTTCTTATGGAGGATCAAGTCCTGGCGCCTTGTTCATATTTAGGAGCTGGATGATACTCTTAATCTTTGATGGAGTGGTGATAGCTTTTTTCAGGACTTGACTTGGGAGCAGGGTGCTGGGTAGTGCCCTTATTCGGACTCCTGTGGCCAACATGTCTACCTGGACTGCGTTGGTGGGGTTCTTATTTATCTTGCTGATGTTTTGAAAGTGTCTCCCAAGCATCGCCGCCTTCTCCGGATCTGACATCGCTTCCTCGTGTCCATACACAAATGTGGGCATGGCAACAAATAGTTTTTCAAGCCTTTTGGACATTTTCCACAATGTGTTGTCACGAAGGTCCAGACTCTCCAACTTGGCTCTCCAGGAGGCGTACCTGAGCTCACGAATTCTGCATTCTACTTCGTTGCAGATACGCTTGGAGGTGACACTGGCTTCAGGTGTTTTAAACCTTTGCCAGCGGCACCTCACTACTTTTTTCTCTGCTATGAGCTCAAGGACGTCCTCCGGTAGGTCATCCTTGTTGGAGTCGATGCTGACCAGCCTCGTGGTGGAATTTCTAGCCTCCTTGATGGCCGCAATGAAGTTGCTGGTTTCTGAGTCGATATATTCTTTGCTGATGTTGTCCTTGATGTGCTGGTCCAAGATGGCTCTGAAGATCTACCAGTTCGTGTTTTTATAATTGTAGAACTTTTTAATGACCTCTGGGGGTTTTTGACTATATTCGAATACAACTGGCAGATGATCAGAGCTCAGCTCGTCCAGCACCTTTTGTTCAGAGATATCCACCACGTTCCTGGAGAGCACGATGTCTAGGACTGTGGGTGTCATTCCATTGACGGGGTAGTGCGTGGGAGAATTAGGGTAGAATTAGAGTAGCCTTCAACCTGTTCCCGTTCTGGATATTCTGGACTGTGTTCCCCCAGTCAACATGTCTCGCGTTAAAATCTCCGCCGAAGATTACCTTGTTTCCAGCAGTAACCAGAGCCTTGGAGGAAGGAACACTAGTCTAATGACCACCACGCTTCCGGCTAAACAAACTACAAAACAATTTTATGCGGTCTTGACTTGCCACCGTGGCAATATTTCCCGTTTACTAGTAATATGCTATGGCTAGGCTCTTATTTAATTCCTAAGATATAAAATAATAATCAAAGAAGAGAATATGAAAACAAACATCCCAACCTTATTGTTCGATCCAACATGACAAATATTTAGAACAAGTTTTAAATTACAGCTGCTGTTTGACGTGACTTCACTTATGACATCACACATCTGTAGTTTGATCAAATTGTTGGACCGTGAGACACAACCTCACCACTCTACTCTGAGTTACAATGGACTTCTTCCAAAGATCGAACAAACTGTTTCAGGTACACCTTCGATAATCTGAAGATGTGCCAGCATTCACCGAGCGTCCAAATGTGTGACGTGCCAGGACCGGCTCTCGCCGAAGACGAGAAGATGAAAGAGGACGAAGACCCCGACACGCGGATCAGCCAAGAGCTAGAGGACAAGATGGTAGAGGCAAAAAACGAGTTTTACGATGGCGACAAAGACAACGACAAGGAGGAAGCCAAAACCTAGGTTAGGCGGTTTTATTTTTCGATTTTTGTACATAGGCTTCAATTTATTTTATTATATTTTTGTAATGTGTTTCTCTCGTCTCGTGTATTTCGATTTTAGGGTTATCTAATGCGAAAAAATAAAATTGAGGATAATCTACAAGTGTTTATATTATAATTTGGAGTGAAACGTCGGTTACAGGAAATACCTTTAGTAATGTAAGGTTACCGTATACCGGGTTAGCTTTGTGATCTGGGTATTTCTTTAGGACACCTGGTATTTTTACAACATTGTCACCTTAAAAAATATTCAAGCAGTGCATATGGCAACTTTTGGTATTCAATCTTGTTCATAAGATGATGATGGGTAAACTAAGTGAGTTTGGCAACAATGCATTTGTTCTGTGAGAAAAAGTGCATATTTGAGTGAAACGGATCTCAACGCATGGTTTTTAAAGATCAGTAAACTAAGTATTGTGCTGCCGAAACGATTGAATCCACGTTGTTTCTGGTAAGTACATCTTATTTATATATTGTTATGTTTTGGCTATGTTTTGACAATATAAGCAAATTATTCACACTCAAAACATAAACATGTGGAGGTAATTTTGGTACATGCCCCAAAGTTAGACGGCAGACGTCCGTTGTAGAATCTAATTTATAAAACGTTGTGTACCAAAGTTACACATGTTCCAAAGTTTTCTACAACCATTGTTTTTCTTTTTCAGGACCAATAATGCCTCGCAAGCAGACTCGTTCACTTGGGATTATAGAAATTATTCTGAAGAAAAACTATTGATGAAATTAAAAGTAAATCTATTTCTCTCCGCTGTGCATCAAAAAGTATCAAATAGCTGAAATCACGTTATGGAATAAAATCCATGACAGGGTAAGCCGAGGATCTTCTTGGAAGATGGAGAAGTCGAATTTACGCCAAGTACCTATTTTATATTGATCATTCTGGCTTTCACATATTTTCGACGCTGCCATATTTGTAACAAGTAATTAACTCATGAGATTCGATATTACCAATGACAGTAGTATTCACATTCACAGAAGACAATACTTCGACCTGGTCCCTAATAATCACTTATTGAATACTTATATACTTGCAAGATGCTTCAGTACAAATAAAAATATCCTAATATTCCTAATAATAATCGAGATTTTTTTTAATCCCCTATTATCTTGTGGTGCCGGCAACGATATAATGCCTAAGTTCCTAGAAATTCAAAAAAGAAGAAGTCGAACTACATTCCTAGTGGATTCACTCTGAAAGTACCCTGGTTCAAGGCATGCCCTGCCCTAAAAGGAGCGAGATAACTACCTTATGCCGCCTGAGAAGTGGTCACTGCCTCACAAACACTCATCTGCATGTAGTCAAAATTAAAGAGTCTACGTGATGTGAATATGGTTTTCCTCAGGACCTCGACCACATAGGTACTCTTCAGCTGTCCAAACAGCCAATTCAATATTAATGTATCACTGAATAGATTGGCAATCAAGAGCAATAATAGAGCAAGACACTTTCCCCTCTCACGACACAACATCCTCTTTGAAGACATAAGTTCTGAAAAGTGCGAGTTGTTACATCAGATCCTGAGTTCTTCTGGTTATAAAAATTGACAGTGCACAGATAGAAACTTTGTTATTCTTGTTTTTCAAGTGATAGTAGAAAGACTAAGTAGTTGCCTTGCTACTGTTTTGCTGTTTTTTGCTTTAGCTATTACAGATAATGCTTTGCAGTAACATCTCCCTTGTTGCATGTGGTGCATGTAGAGATTAAGTGCGAAAAATTGTTAGAACTGTCTAAATTCCTAGGAACCTCTACGGTGGATCCCAGTAGGGAAGATTCAAATTGATGCGTGTATACTTGGCCAGATAGCCAAGGTTGCTAAGACAATCCAAATCGAGAGGACGAAGGATAGAAGAAGAAGAACAACTTTCTGACGTTAATATTGGCTGTCACCATCGTGCTGTCACCCACAATGCTTGTTTCATCATTGGTTTCATCATAGTTTCATGTAAAGTCCCTTGATGGAAATTGACGGTAAAGTCATCATAACAGGGTACGGACAGATCATAGCTGCATTCTTTTTTAATGATCTAGAGACTTTAGTTTTGTCTACTGGCATCCCTGACATTGCTGTCACGTCACATCCATGAGCGCTACAGAAAATCATTCAAAATTTCAATAATAGGTATGTACTGGGTATTTACTTGTTGAGGAAGATCATATGGCGAACAAGTTTTGTAATGAAGATCCGATACTATTCAAAATTGATATCTGGGTGTTTTCGGGGTAGGAGATAATGATTGTTTCGTCAAAATTGGAAAATCCAAGATGACGGATCCAATATGGCGAAATAATATAAGTTTATATAATTATTACTCTACCACATATAGAAAATATTTAGGATGCAAGAGTGAAAATAACGTGCCTTTTTATCTAAGGGAGACGGAAGAATATCATATGTATAACATGGGGGTGAAGTATATTCCATTCTTTATTTCCCTGCACATCTTACGTATTACTTTTTATCAGCCTACTTTTCGTCCTAGACGAAGTTTTATACATAGTGTGATATTAGTCACTCCATAAATTCTTCTTCGAGTTGGATTTCCGAAAATATATTTAGCACACATTACATGAGTATAGTAGTTTAGATGCTCACATCGAGGTTTTCACCATTTCTCAATCATAAGGCTCAGAGCTCATTCAGCTCATATAGATAAAGTACTACTCAGTTTGAAATTAGAATTCATTCAGTCAATTCAGTCAACCCTTGTATACGGGCTAAGAACAGTCTCTTTTGGTGAAATATATTGAGCTTTCAGTACAATTCATATGTTCCCTACCTCGCAAAAATTATTATTATATAGAAATTACGTATGATACGCCAGTGACCTCAATATAACCTAAAAAACAACAAATGTCAAAAATCTAGTGCTTATCCCCAGAAATGAATAAAGATGGAACTATATAACTGTTTCACAAACACTTTAGAGTGAGAGGAGACGAGGATCTGCCCGTACCCTGTAAAGATGACTTTAACGTCAATTTCCATCAAGGGACCCTACCTATTATTAACACCTATTATTAAAATATAAATGATTTTCTGTCGCGCCCATGGACGTGACGTGACGTGACAGCAATGTCAGGGATGCCAGTAAACGAAACTAAAGTCTCTAGATCTTTAAAAAAGAATGCAGCTATGATGTGTCCGTACCCTGTTAAGATGACTTTACGTGTTAAGATGACTTTAACGTCAATTTCCATCAAGGGACCCTAACTTTATATGGTGTTCTCGGATGATTACGTCAAGCGTTTGCCCGCGTTTTTCATGTTATAATACACTCAGTTCCAAAAAAAGTGACGCACTTGATATTTGCGACCTATCTTAAAAAAAAAAAATAGTTGGCCGATTTTTTTTTTATTTCTTGGTAGGTAATGCATTTGTCTTAAAAAAAAATAAAGAGGTGCAATTTTTTTCAAAGCCTCCTTGATGGTGGTGGAATAACTCGAACCATGATTTATTATTAATTTTTGACTCACCCTGTGTGTTAATTGAGTAATGGTATACAAAGTGCTTACACCCTATACGAAAGAGGCTCTTTTGCGAGCATTTTGTTTTTCATTCATTTATTTATCTTTAAAATTTTCCGAATTGCAGCTTTTCTGCTGATACCTCACGCTTCTCCCACAAATTAAATTTATTGAAGGATCAGAGTATGTACTCAAAATTGATTGGTTTGTACTCTGGTAGGATCACAATGTCTTTAAAAAACAAATGCCGTTGCCATAGCAACTAATTTGTTGTATGCCTCCATATTTGACCATTTGTCGTTGTGTCCTTAATTAAGTGTCTTGTTTTATTGACTGAAATTACTTAGAACGCCTCGAATAAATCCTGAACAAGTAGCAAGATTAGTTGCGTTAGTAAACGATGGGCGTAGTAAACGTTACGCCGCTCGTGCAGTGGGAGTTCATGAAGCAACTGCTCGTAGAGCAATCCGCAAGTACGAACAAACAGGAAGCACCGCTCGGAGGGTCGGTTCTGGGGTTCTGGTCGCCCCTGAAAAATTTCTCCAAGAGATGATCGCTTCTTGAGATTGCGGATTTTACGGGGTCGATCCAAATACTGCGGTAAATATTCAGCAAGATCTTCGCCAAATTTGTGGTGTTGCAGTAAGTAAGCAGACGGTATGTAGACGTCTAAAAGAAGTTAATTTAAAAGCTAGGAGACCTGCAAAAGGTCCCAAATTATTGCCCGAACATCGTGCTGCTAGAAGAAATTTTGTCGAAAATTATGGACAGTGGAATATTCCTGAATGGTCGAATGTCTTGTTTACGGATGAGTCAAGGTTTTGCCTCAACATGGTGGATGGAAGAAAAAGAGCGTGGAGAAGAACTGGTTAACGGTTTAATCAAAATTTAATAACAGAATTCGAAAGTTTTTATGGTGGGTCCGTTATGGTGTGGGGAGGGATTTCAATGAATGAAAAGACACCCCTTCATGTTTTCCCGGTGAGGCAGTCGATGAATGCCCAAATTTACATTGACATTTTAGAGCAGTATGTCTTACCTTAAACAACAATTATCCAGATCCTGACTGGGTAGCATCATTTTTGAAACGGTCAGAACTTAGTCAAAGGTTCTCCCAAAATATTTCGCAGGCGTAATTCTAAACTGAGCTGAAAGAGACCCCATCAGCCAACATTTATAATTACGAAGAAATAAATCTCGTCGATGGAGTGCGGACCTGTGCGACAAAGAATAAAGCTTTTCGTTTCAGCTCCTGACAAAGTTCCTCTTTTACGAGATTAGAAGTGAAATTAATTTTTATAAACTGTCATACTCATTTCCTTAGTGCATTGTGGCATTAGTGTGGAAAAATACCAGAACTCGTAAGTGAAATCATACCAAAAACCTATTGTTTACCTACGGGGTCCAATACGCCAGTCACGTTTTTGTATATCTGCTGATATCGTTGATCTGCGCGGGTCAGGACCGTATTCAGGTACACATGTCTCGTGCCAACAAACTTTAACACACCGAAATGAGTGCATCAGAACCGGTGATTTCTGACTACAGGAATCACCGATCTACAACGATGGAAACCTCAACATCTACCTCCAACCAACGTACTAACCCAAATA